ACCATTTCTGAATTGCTAGCACATATTCCTTTGATATACAAATTTACTAACTAGAGTAAAAGCGTTTTGTCTTTGGTTTTTCAGATTCTAGTCAAAATATCACTTCCCACAAGTTACTTACATCAGCATCTTTTCTCTTTGCCCACTTCAGTGCAGTTATATCATATATTTCTCAGTTAAGTCATTTTTCACAGTCTGAATTCAATCCTGGGATCTCCAGACATCTTGGTTAATTTTTAAATTTTGCATATATTAAAGTTCTTTCTTTATGCTGTACATTTTTATGGTCATGACAGAGATAGAGTCATATATTCACCTCCTCAGTGTGATACAGAAAAATTTCATCTCCTTTAAAATTCTCCTGTACATCCCCTTTGTAGTTAATAATTCCTCTTCAGCCTCTGGCAACTACTGTACCAATCTGCTTTCCATCCCTATAATTTTTTTGTTTTCTGGATGTCATATGAATAGAATCTCTTCGGACTGCCTTCCTTCACTTGGCAAACTGGATTTAAAAGTAATCCATATTATTGCATGAATCAATAGTGTACTGCTTTTAAATCACTAAGTAATTTCCTATTGTATGGATAATCAGTTAGTTCATCTATTCATCTGTTGAAAGACATTTTGGCTTACTTCATTTTTTGGCAGTTATAAATATAGCTGCCATAAACATTTGCATGCAAGTTTTCATGTGAACATAAGTTTCAAATCAGTTGACTAAATATATTGGAGCACAATTTATCATATCACAGTTCAGTAAATATTTATGAAGTAAACACATCCATTAATTAGTACCAGCAACAGAACATTACCAGCACTCCAGAAGCTGTCCTCAGGCCCTCACCCAGTTATGCATTCCCTCCTCTATTACCTTGACTGCTATTGCCATTACTAATTTTTGCCTGGTTCTGAACTTTAAATGAAATCATACATGTACTTCTTTGTGTCTGTTTCTTTTGCCAAACATCCTCCATGTTATTCCGTGTGGTAATTATTTTCATTGTATGAATACGTGACAGTTTTTCTTCATACACTTGTAGCTGAACCTTTGGGGTTTTCCCAGTTTAGATAATGCTGTGAACATTCTTGTGTCTTTCAGTATCTACTTCTGTTGCTGGCTTATAGGTTATCTACATGCTCAGTAATAATAGATATGCTGAATCATTTTCAAAGTGTTTATGCCAGTTTAAATTACCAATAGTGCTTTATGTTTTAACAGGATCCTTCTGGATACTGCATTGATAACTGACAGTTCCAAGGCAAAGGTAGGAGCAGGGAGACCAGTCAAGAGGTTTTGGAGTCATTCATGTGTGACTGAATGGAGTACAGCCCAGAGGGGTAGCAGTAGAGGTAGTGATAAGTGATTGGATCTGTTATATTTTAAGGGTAGAGTCAATAGGAATCTTCTGACTGATTGGATATGAAGGATAGAAAAAGAGAGGAGACAAGGATGTGTCTGAGGTGTCTGGGCTAATCAACCTTATGGATGGAATTGCCACCAACTGAGATCAAAAGACTGTTGGGCAGTTGGTTTGACACGGAAGATCCTGAGATATGTTTAGGCATATTGTTTTTGAAATGTCTATTAGAGATCCAAGTGGATATGTCAGGAAGGCAGCTGGAGTTCAGGCGAGTGGTCTGAGTTACTGACATAAATTTGGAGTTGTAGGCAAATAATAGTGTATTGGTTATGGCCCAATCAGGAAAGAGAAACCACACAGTAATTTGTAAGCAAGTTTATATAAAGAATTATCAGGCTGGGCACAGTGGCTCATGCCTGTAATTCCAGCACCTTGGGAGGCCAAGGAAGGAGGATCACTCAGGTGTTAGAGACCAGGTTGGACAACATAGTGAGACCTCACCTCTACAAAAAATTAAAAAATCATCCATGCATGGTAGTGTGTGTCTATAGTCCCAGCTACTCAGTGAAAATGAGGTGGAAGGATTGCTTGAGTCCAGAAGGTTGAGTCTGTGGTGAGCTATGATTGTGCCCTTGCACTCCAGCCTGGGCAACAAAGTGAGTCCCAACTCAAAGGAAAAATAAAAGAATTATTAACGGCAACAGGGGATTGGTAAAAGCAGGCATGGGCCAGTAGGAAGTAAAGAGAACTCTAAAGAATATAGGAAAAGAAAGTGTGAGGAGTAACCACTATTCTATGGCTGAGATAGAGGACCCAGAAGAGTCCTTTCTCCTCACCCCTCCTCCTCTTCACTGGAGTAGCCCAGTCATGGCTCACTGGGTGTCAGGAGAGTTTCTATGGTGTTGTACTACTGGAATTTGCTGGAAATCCTTCTCTTGGTACTGGAGAAAGGGACTGTCTCAGAAGACTGATTCCATAACAAAGCTGCCTGGAGGTAGGCAGGGGTGGGGGGATAGGGAGGAGTGGGGGTTGCTAGGCACTGGATACCACTGGCCATCACATCCCTGGAGAAGTCACCTACCTGCGGGATTCTGGCCAGAGAGCATAAGATAACCAGAAATAAAGATTTCTTTTTCTGCAAAGTATCTCCATTATCCTCTATTGGCAAAACTGAACATCATACTAGTGTCCAAGGAAAATATTTAAAGAATCTAGCTCCTTCTTTTGTGCCACCGGAACTTGCTGGTTTAGAGGCAGAGTTGTTTCTAAAAGAGACAGCTTGTTTCCCAGACTGGAACTGAACTCCTGGCCTCAAGCAGTCCTCTTACCTCAGCCTCTCAAGTAGCTGAGGCTACAAGTACATGCCATTACTCTCAGTCCCTCAGCTCATTTTTGCAGAGCAGGCAACGAAGAATGAACTTGCAGCAGAGATGTAACAAATTGATAACTGATAGCGATGACATAAGACACCACAAGACAGAATGAAGTCATCCAGGGAATAAGTACAGACGCAGAAGAGAGGACTGCCAGTGGAGTCCTGTGAGCTTTCTCTAACTTAAATGGATCAGGTAGAACAGAGGAACCAGCAAAAGCAGCTGAAAAGGAGCTGTAGGTGGTGTCCTGGAAGCCGAGTGAATCTAAGAATAGGAGGGGAAGGGAAAAGTCAGAGAATGTATTGACCATTCTTTGTGAAATTTTGTGGCAAAAGGGAGAAAAGGTGTAATTACTGGTATAGAAAATGGGCCAAGAGGAGTTTGTTTTGAAGATGAGAGAAATAGTTGCATGTTGTATGATGATGGAAATAGTTCAGTAGAAAGGGAAAAATGACGATGTTTAAGAGGAAGCAAGAAAGGAAGTGGTAAAAAAAGATTGAAGAGAGAGGAGATGTGAAATGTTCACTTGGAAGAATGGAAGACTGAATAGATCAGGCAAAGATAGACTTGTTAAAGTGAGGACAGTTGGCATGATCCTGTTTTCCTCCAGCTATGTTTAGTTGTATTACTGTAGCATGGAACAGATGGAGAATTGGGTTTACCCAGGGCTCTCATCATATCAAGCAGATATGATAAGGTGACAGGAATGTAGGTAAGTTGAGGGGGTATGCAAGAGACCAAAGACAATGATTGTGGGGTTTCAGCTAGCTTACTAGAGAGGAAGTCATGAAGGGAGACAGAAACAGTAGATAGTAAGATTTGGACCAGAGGTGCAGTTAAGGTTACAGGAGTTTTGGGTTCAGGGCACTAGAAGGAGTAACCTGGAAAAATAGGAGGTGATATCAGAGTAGGATGCTACAGGGGGTGCAGGTCCTAAACCTGGTAGGTTCTGATCATAGGGGGAGTGGTAAGCTCAGGTAAGGCAGAGGACAAGACTGGGCTTCATGAACCACAAGGATGTTAGATTACCCACCTGTATACTGAAATCGCCAAGAAGCAAGGGAGTAGAGTTGTAGAAATTACACAATTCTAAACTCTTTACAGACAAGGAAATTACGTGCCATGGTAGTAGCCTCCTTAGTCCAGCAGAGTGTATGGTGTGTGGACTGTATGGTGTGTGAATACCTGTGCTGAGGTGAGTGGACTGCCTGAGCCTGCGGGTTCGAGACCCGCCTGGGCAGGCGAGACCCCAACTCTACAATAAAATCAAAAAATTAGCCAGGCGTGGTAGCGCGCGCCAGTAATTCCGGCTACTCGGAAGGCTGAGGCGGAAGGATCGCCGGAGCCCAGCAGGTCGAGGCTGCGGTGACCGGGAGCGGCCACTGCACTCCAGTCTGGGCGACAGAGTGAGACTCCACCCCCCCCCCCCCAAAGAAAAGTAACCCTCCAAGGCTAAAGGTAAGATACATCCTCTGACAACGTACCTAGCTTGTAGGCATCCCAGCAGCTGGGATGGGGGTTAGAGGAACTCCAAGGCATTTCCCCAGGCGTGAGTGAGCGGAGCCCGGGGAAGGCAAAGCTGTGCACGAAGAAAACCGCAAGATGCTGCGTTCCTTCAAATTTCTTTTCCCAGAAACAGAAAGGCGAGGCGGTTCAGGCTGGGTCAGTTTGTTCCTGCCCTCAGAGTCTGCTGGTTCTAGCAAAAGAGGACCTTAGAGTACTCAAGAACCCGAGACACCCTCTTGCCCCCAACTCTGTCATCTTAAAGGATGAGCCAGTGGACTCCCAATCGAGTGATAGTCTATTCGTCCCGGGCACGGTGACTAAGGGATAACCGGGACCAAATGTATTCCCTTCCGACTTTTGTACCGCACCAAGTAACCAGCTCCAGCCCGCACAGTCGCTCTAGCCTTTGACGGGGACTAGGGCTTGCGCGGAGCACATTGCTTGGGAGTCCCTCCGCAGGATGTAATGTCGAGCGCTAGTCTTACTCGGTACCTGGACCTCACCGGGGGAGCCGGGCAGGTCCGGGCGGGGCACGGCTTCGGTGAAATCAAAGTACGACGGCGCCTGCGCCCGTACTCAGCCAATCACGAGTCTCCTTTCAGGTTCTTCTCTGAAAGTCGTCCCCCCGCCGGACTCCTTGTTTCTGCCTACTTGTTTCCCTCCGGCGAGTCAGCCAGATTGTGAATTTCTGCTTCCGGGGGTGTCCATGCGGGCCTGAAGAGTAGCAGTTGTGATCTGGGTAACTGCTGTGGCTTGGGAGAGGCGGCGGTGGTGGCCTCGGGCCCCGGACTCTGGGACGATCACGAGTCGTGCGCGTGAGAAGGTCCTCTTAGACAGTCTTGTTTCCAAGGAGCGCCTCCTTCGCTGGACAGACTTACTTTGTACCTGCTAGACAGGTGCTCCGAGGTCGTTGGGGAGGGTGGCGGAAAGAGTTTGTGCAGAATCCGAACCGGGTGGGAAGTTGGCGGGGAGAGGTCGTTTTATGGCAGGGTGGTTCCAGCAGATTATTTAGAGCTGATCAAGATCTCTTGACTCCAAATTGTGTTTTTTTCCACCAAAAAGAGGGAGAAAAACCTCAGTACAGATTTGGAACTAAAATATAGTAGAAAAGTAATCTCTTTGAAATTACACAGCTAATTAGTTTCGGGGCGTTCCTAAAACCGAGTTCTCCTAACTCCCAGCCAATATTACTTGATATTATGGTGATATATAAGGACTATTATTTGTGTGTTTGTGAGAAACCTCTGACTGACTTCCATGCTGCAGTAGCACACTATACAACCTTTCGATGTGGCCCTTATTGCATGGCACGGAAGATACAAATTTGGGTTTCCTCCTCTAGTCGGATCATATAGCACAGTGCCTAGCACATCATAGGCAAACACAAGTGACTCTCCTCCCCCTTTTAAAAACTAAGCTATCAGATTGTATGCAACCTAATTTCCAAAAAAAAAAAAAAAATCAAATTCAGTGATTCCCAATACATGGGCCATGGACTCTCCAAAAGCTCAGAAATCATTGGAAGGGTCTTGCAAATCCATGTGGTCTCCAGGCATCATCCAGAACCAGTCATATCCAACACATGTAAAGAGTATTGTTTTTCAAATGTATGTAGATGACTGTTGTAATTTAGGAGTTTTACAGAAGTCAGGTATTAAAAGTAATACTGCTATCATGTTGGGGGCTCATTAAAATGTTGTAAATTTTTATTATTACAATTTAAATTTTAGTGTAAGTTAGGATAGTCTAGATACTATCTGGGCCTGAGCTGTCCAGAATGGTCACCACATGTGGCTGTTTTAATTTAGGATTAAATCATTTAAATTACAGTTTAATTTTTTTCAGTTCTCAGTAGCTACATGGGGCTACTGACTACTGTATTGAAAAGTAAAGATATAGAATGCTTTCATCCTCACAGAAATGAATACTGCTGATGTTGACACTTAAGATGAATAAAAAGTATCTTAGGCCATGCTCAATACCACAGCCTGTAATCTGAGCACTTTGGGAGACGGGGGTGGGTGGATTGCCTGAGCCCACGGGTTGGAGACCAGCCCTGGAAGCTTGGCAAGACCTCATCTCTACAATAAACCAAAAATCAGCCGGGTGTGCGTGCGCCTGTAGTTCTGGCTACTTGGAAGGCTGAGGCAGAATGATTGCCTGAACCCAGCAGATCGATGCTGGGGTGGCTGTGAGCATGCCATTGCACTCCAGCCTGGGCGACCAAGTGGGATGCTGACTTTAAAAAAAAAAAAAAAAGTAACTTAATAAAAGTAACCTTAAAAGAGGTAACTTATCTAATTTATAGCATAATGAAAAAGTGAAATTGGGATGATTAAACGCTTTTTACCCTTGTTGGGTGAACAAATACATCATCTCTTCATAAAGAAATACATGAAATTTACTGTCCCTGCATGTTGCCCAGATTGTAAATGCTTCCCCCACCTCCCCACCCCACCCTATTTGTTTTAGGTTAGAGTTATTTGTGAATTGGTAAATAGCCACTATGGAGGCTAAAGACCAGAAGAAACATAGAAAGAAAAACAGTGGGCCTAAAGCTGAGAAGAAAAAGAAACGGCATCTCCAGGATCTTCAGCTTGGAGATGAAGAAGATGCCAGGAAGAGAAACCCCAAAGCTTTTGCAGTTCAGTCTGCTGTGAGGATGGCTCGATCCTTCCATAGGTATGTTTAGCTGGAGTCTGGTGGGTCTTCCATGTGTTCTTTTTAAATAGTAGGAGTCTCTCACAGATGACATTTGTATTCATGAGTCAAGCCCAGTTCCAAAGGACATGAAAATGGATGCTGTATGGCTTTCACTAAGAATTTGAGAAGATTTTTTTGAGTAAAAGCTGCTTTGCCTTCAGCATCTGCACGCTGGTTGGAGTTTTCTGCCCAAGAGAAAGAATTTTTAGAATTTTGTGTTCCTAAACTTTAATTTCTATGGTGATAAGTATACTTTTTTCTTAGATATGCTTTATACAGAAGTAATAGAAAATACTAAAATAACCTGTCTACCTTTTCTATTAGAGTCCTTAGCATATTAATCATATTTATTGACCGGGCATGGTGGCTCACACCTGTAATCCCAGAACTTTGGGAGGCAAAGGTGAGAGGATTGCCTGAACCCAGGGCTTTGAGACCAGCTCAGGCAAGACCTCGTCTCTACAATAGATCAAAAAATTAGCCAGGCATGGCGGTGCTCACACTTGTGGCTCCAGCTAGTTGGAAGGCTGAGGTGGAAGGATCACTTGAGCCCAGCAGGTTGAGGCTGTGGTGGCCATGAGTGTGCCACTACACTCCAGCCTGGGTGACAGTGGGACTCTGACTAAAAAAAAAAGATACTAAAATTGTAATGTTTAATACTAAAATACCTTTATTTTAGCAAGCCCTTGCAGTATGCACAGCAATGTACTTTAAACATTGAATTAAATTCTTCCAATAGCCTTAAGATAGTAGAAATTATTCTTGCCCTCACTTTATGGATAGGAAAACTGTGGTTACCCCAGTCATAGAACCGATAAGTAGGAGAGCTAAATTGAACTCTAAAGCCTCTGCTTTTATTTGTTATTATACACTGCTTTGGTGTTTGCCTTTTTTTCTTTTAATTATTCAAATCTACTCATAAAACAATCAGATTTAAGGAATGCTTAATTTTTAACTCTCTATATTTTGAGGCCGTCTTGTTATATCTTTACTGAGGAGCAATTATTTGGATTGGGGGCCAGAAGTTACCAAGCTAATTGCGTTCGTATACTGTTTGTTGCTCGCTTAATAAAACCTATACTTAAAAAGTTGATGCTTTTTATTCTATTTTGAAAGTGAGTTTACTTTTTTTTTTTGACGAGTAGGACTCAGGACTTGAAGACAAAAAAGCATCATATTCCAGTGGTTGATCGAACTCCATTAGAGCCCCCACCAATAGTAGTCGTGGTGATGGGGCCTCCCAAAGTTGGAAAGAGCACTTTGATACAGTGCCTTATTCGAAACTTCACTAGGCAGAAGTTGACTGAGATCAGAGGCCCTGTGACTATTGTGTCAGGTAAGGGGTGCTGCCACAGAGCTGGCATAGCAGATGTTTTCTGAGGGACATGAGTGTCTTTGTTGTTTTCTTGAGTGCAAAATGTTAAAGTAATATTGTCATGTCATATTACCTTTCTTGTATGTTTACTAAATTGGCTATAGCTTCAGAAAAGGATAAATTCCTAGAGATAATTATGTAGATGTATACCTTATTTTGACTGTTCTGTGGCTTTGCCAAGTGTGCTCCTTGGAAAGGCCTTATAGGCCTGGTCACTGTGAATACATCATTTAACAATCAGTGGGTACCTCCTATGTGCCAGGCTCACCTGCTTGCCCTTGTGAAACCACATTCTTGTGGAATTGAGACAGTTTTCTTCCCCTTTCCTGTAAGAATTTGTATGCTTTGGGAGATGCTGACCTTTCTACATTTGAAGGAGGATGAAACAAATTTCCAAAACGACAATGGTAGAGCCTGATGTCTCTTGTTATAGTAATAATGTGGTCAGATTGAAGCTTTTGAAATCTTTAAAGCATCCATATTTTCTTGACCATTTCCTTTTTACTTTAATTAGAAATAACTATTGTTCCATGAATATTCTGTTACATTAGGTTTGAGGAGGTTTTTAGCTTATTGTGACTGACAGTATAGGAAAACTTGATAGAGACAAAGGCATTGATTGGCCTGGAGCTGAACAGCAGAACTATCCAGTGAGAATTATTTCTGTTTGAGCCCTTTTATTTATCTGGGCAGACTTTTGAAATTATTTTAAACTTAGAGAACATAGCAAGAAAACCAAGATGGAACTTATTTCACCAGTTTTCTCCTATATAAATGAACTTATAGCACATTCCTAGAAACTTATATGGTGTTTTACTGGGTACAACTAAAAAATTATAGAGTTAATGGATAGTGTTTTTTAAGGATTTTTTTTTTAAAGTAAAATTTTCATCTTTTCATTTCTAGGTAAAAAGCGCAGACTCACCATTATTGAATGTAGGTGTGACATTAACATGATGATTGATCTGGCTAAAGTTGCAGATTTGGTAAGTTATCAGGGGCAACTGAGATGCTGTTTATCTCATCTTGAAGGGAAAAGAGATTTATAATTATTAAAGGGATGGTGAGTGTCATCAGGGATACAATAAATATGATTGAGTGGACGATAATAAATATTGTCATTATAATAAAAATGGATGTATGCCATGAAATGCATTCTAAAATTTAAAAGCAAACCACAGGATAGAGAAAACCTTTAACAAACATAGGTGATAAGAGCTCAATCACCTGTACATATATACATGCAAATATATCATAAGTACAATTCCTTGGACCTGTCCTGGTACTGTGCTGATTTCTACAAATCTAGCTCACATACCCCAGTACATCTTTGAGGTGAATAGGTATTACCTGCAATATACATATGATGAAATTGAGACTCTTCAGCAAGATTAGGTAACTTCTCTGAGGATGGGACTACCTTGATGGTACCAGAACCTCTGTTTTAATGGTTATGATAAAGGAAGTCTATGGATTTGCCCTGAAGAAATGGTCAGAATTTATCAATAGAAAATCTAGGTAGTATTTGGCCTATGAAAAACATGTAGCCTTGATTGCTTTTATTATGGAATGGCAGAGTTCATATTTCTGATACTGTATATCTTATTTTTAAATTATTATTTTTGGAGACAGAATCTTGCTCTGTTACCTGTGTTGGAGTACAGTGATGCAATCATTGCTAACCTCAAACTCTTGACCTCAAGCAGTCCTCCTGCCTCAGCCTCCTGAGTAGCTGGGACTATAGTCATGTGTTACCTTGTACAGCTAGTTTTTAAAATTTTTTTGTGTGTGTGGAAATAGAGTCTTGCTGTGTTGCCTAGACTGGTCTCAAAGCAGTTCAAGCAGTTCTCCTGCCTCAGCCTCCCAAAAAGATTAGGGTTACAGGCGTGAGCCATTGTGACTTGCCAGCTGTCTTTTGAATTAGCAAAAATAAAGTAAAATGCTAAAAAAATTTAGACGCATTGCTTTGGAATTGTGGGATGACAGATCCTTTTTTTTCCCTAACTCTTTCTGGAGAGTTGTTTGATGACAAAGAGCTATGAATTTTGTCCTTTGGCCTAGGAAGACTCCTAAAATATAAAATAAAAAGTAATACAGGTTTTAATGCTATGTCATTTTAATGTCAGAAAACTAAATACCATTCAAATTTTGAATATGTAATGCTAAAATTAGTAAAAATAAGTTATTGTTAGCACAAAGTAGTATAAACTTACTAAATCGTGTGTATTTGCAATGATTGAAATAGTTCAGCATAGAAGTCATTAATTTCTCTTTTATGTTTAGTATAGCAAGTTTCTAATTTTAAAAGCATGCCTATTAGGAGAGATGCCTTTAAAATTTATTATTTTAGTTACTATGGATACAGAATAGTTATACATATTTATGGGGTACATGTGATATTTTGATGCAACCATACAATGTGTAATGATTAAATCAGGGTAATTGGGCTATTCATCACAAGCATTTATCATTTCTTTGTGTTAGGAATATTTCAACTCACTCTTTGGGTTATTTTGAATTATACAATAAATTGTCCACTCTAGTGGTCTATTGTGCTGTTGAACACTAAAACATGTTCCTGCTGGCTAACTATATTTTTGTTCCCACTAACCCTCTCTTTATCCCAACTCCACTACACTTTCCAGCCTTTTAACCATCATTAAGAGAGATGCTTTTGTGTAAATCTTTTTAAGATTTTAAAAAGGAACACACGCATTTGACTGTACTATGGGGTACACACAACACACGTTTTTTTCCTTGCTCTGACCCCTGGTCTCTCAGTTATCTTCAGAACAGTGTCCTTCCAAATACACATAAATAACACATGCAGTTCTTTAAAAACATGACTGGTTGTTTATTATACACACTGTTCTGTCCTTTGCTTTCTTCATGTAATGAATCTTGGATATATATAATCAGTACTATAACTCTACCTCAGTCTTTTTAATGTATTCCATTGTATGGATGTACCATAATTTGTTTGACTTGCTTTATGTTGATTGCTTTGCTGTGGGTTATAGGGAAGTCACAGCAAAGACACACATAATACATGGATTTGGGTGTGTAGGTGGATTGAAGGAGTAATATAAGGGGGACCCCTCAAAAAATAGAGTTATCTTTTGGAAGGTGGGTTCCTTATAGTACACTTGGAATTTGTTCCTCCAGATCAAATGGTCAACCAAAGTTTTTATTTGGAAGTTTTGAAAAGGTTACATCACAATTTGTGGAAGAAACATCCCAAGTTGTGGCAAACAGTTGACTGGTCCCACAGTGTGCTGAGTGTTCAGTTTTTGACTAAAAATGACATAACCCCTGGGCTCCACTCTCCTTTTCACCCAATCTCACCCTGAGTGACTTTTTTTGTTTTTTTCCTGGATGAGAAAAGTCCTCAAAGGAAACGTTTTGCTGATATGTAAGGGGTGAAACAACAAAACAACAGAAGCACTAAAAGGTTTCAGAATTAATGAACTCAGAAACTGAGCAGTGGAAAAAGCATCTCAATAGGTGTATTACATCAGACAATATTTTGGAGGTGACTGAAGTTTAAACATGTCAGAAAAAAAGACACAATTTTTTTTTTTAAAAGGCCAAGAGATTTATTAAAGCAGCGGCTACAAGGGAAAAGGGAAAGGGTCTGTGGCCGCGGGATTGGGGGGAGAGAGAGAGAGACGGGAGAGAGAGAGTGTGAGAGAGAGAGAGGGAGAGGGCGAGAGAGAGTGCGCGCGCGTGTGTGTGTGTGTGTGCGCGCGCGCGCGCGCGTGTGTGTGTGTGTGTGTGAGAGAGAGAGGGTGAGAGTGAGAGAGAGAGAGAGAGAGAGAGAGAGAGAGAGAAAGAGAGTAGCGGGAAGAGAGAGAGAGCAAGAGAGAGTTATGCAGGGGGAGGGGTATATTTATGGGCTTGACAGGGTCTGGCCAGTATCGTGTTTGGGTTTTATTGGAGGAGACTATGAGGTAGTATTCCTATAGGGAGAAGTTATTCCAGCACAGGTTTAAACTTTGCGCCCTGGAAAAGTCGGAGTTTAGCGCCTTTGTTGTCTTGGGTGGCAGCGCCATCTTGGGGATGCCCTTCTGACTGTTCTCTGCGCCCTTCATTCCCACCTTTTCTGTTTATTTGGGAGAGGAGCGTCGTTACTCTTTCTGGCTGCTTCCTGCTGGATGTGGACGTTGTGGGGTGAGGTGGGGGAAGGGCACAGAACCAGCCAGAATAGGGTCCAGAGGTAGGCACTGAAGGTGAAGATTTTTGAAGGCGAGAGTTTTATGAAAGTTCCTTGTAAGTGTAGAATGGCGACTTGTTCCGGCCAGTCTTCCATTGGGCCCGAAGGCGGTAGTAACCAGCTGTCTTGGAGTAGACTGTGGAGGTAAATAGAGAACCTGGAAGAGAACATATCTAAAAGAAAAGTTAAGTGATGTTTAGGGACAAGGTGTTGACTCTTCTATTGAGAAGGGTGCCGTTGTATCAGAAAGTATGAGGGGGAGAGGCAAAAAAAGAAAAAGAATTTATTTATAAAAAATTGTGATTGGGACGGTCCCATCACAATTTTTTATAAATAAATTTTTTTTTTCTTTTTTTGCCTCTCCCCTCATACTTGCTTAGTTGACAAAAAATGGCAGCCGAGGGACTGTTTGCCACCTATTCTTCCTGATCCTATAACTAGTTGCTTGTTCCTTGGTCCATGATGTCAAATAGAGTGTCAGATATTCCACAGCCAGCCCCCCACCACCACCTTTGGCTTGATCCTTTGTCTTTGGAGAACTCTGCCTGCTGCCTATGTCCATGGTGTGCAGCAGTGGTGTGCTTTCTCACAATGCTCAATAGTCCATCTTCATGTATTCTGTATTTCAGGATTGTGGATATCCCTAGTTTAATCAAAGATGGGTGTGTTTTTACTTTTTGTTATCTTCAGTTAGTTGCAGAAAGATGAAAACAAATGTCTTTAATGTCTGAAACAAGAAGTCTACAGGACCTAATTCTGAAATTATTTTGTATGTTTGTAGTGTTTTAAATTTTAAATATTGGTCTTACCTGCTTATATTTGCTTGTAGATTACCACCCATTATAACTGTTTTTTGACTATTCTAAACTGGTAGCCTTAAAAAAATCTTCTAAACAACTGCATGTTACAAATTAACATATAAGACCTTTTCCATTACATACTTCATAGCCAAAAAAAAAAAAGTTGATTTTTTTCTTATGAGAAGATTGAAACAAGAGATTGATTTTCTGTATTTTTAATATTCTTTTGTTGATTATCTTTTCTTCCCATTCTTTGCATGTCAGAGACTTGTTATTTGGTTTCCTTGTTAAACACCTGTTATTTGGATTAAAAACACCTTACACAAATCTCCATTTGTTGAAGTTAAAATTTCTTAGGTAAGGAAAATTAGACCAACCCTTTTCTGAGTTGTCATACATTCATATTCTTAAAATAGAAATTTATATCCTGGTAGACATTGTCTTATGGTTGACTTGTAGAGCCAGTCAGAGGGTGGTATTTTCTCTGTTAGGGTGTTCCATAAGTAGTCATTTGGTTCAGTCTAGAGCAGGAGTTGGCAAACTTTTTCTTTCAAGGGCCATCTAGTAAATTTTTTTAGGCTTTGTGGATCATAAAACTTTTGTTGCAACTACTTAACTCTGCAGTTGTAGTGCAAAAGCAGCCATAGACAATATGTAAATGAATTAATATGACTGTGTTCCAGTAAAACTTTAGTTACAAAAACAGGTGATGGGCTCAAGCAGCCTTGGCCATTGTTTTTGCTAAGCTCTGGCCCACCCACGTGTTCATTGAGCTGTGGCTGGGCAATGCTTCTCTGTAAACTTTGGCCCCCTTCCCAGTCTGCGCGAGGTGGATCCCCTTTTTTCTCTTTCTCCAATCTACTTTCTAAATAAGCTATGTTTTTAAATCTTAAAAAAACAACAAAAAATAGGTGATGGGCTAGATTTGGCTCATGAGCCATACTTTGCTGACCACTGGTCTAGAGATTTTCTATTTTGGTGGCCTTCTTGAGAAATTGTGTGTTCTGTCTTTAGGTGCTGATGCTTATAGATGCCAGCTTTGGGTTTGAAATGGAAACTTTTGAGTTCCTAAACATCTGTCAAGTACATGGCTTTCCTAAAATTATGGGAGTTCTCACTCATCTTGACTCCTTCAAGCACAATAAGCAACTGAAGAAGACAAAGAAGCGATTAAAACACAGATTCTGGACAGAAGTCTATCCGGTAGGAAGAGAAATAATTATTACAGGATACCAACACAATAATCCTTTTAAAATAGAATGAAGAGGCATTAATTAGCATCTATATAGGATTCACCTACTGGTTTTCCTTTATATATCTATTCATAGTCGTTGGAATACTTCCCTTGAGAGAGTCTTATTCTGGGCGTCTTGTATCTCTTTTGTCTCTCTACCTCTGCACCACATAGTATCTGTTTTGGGGTCATGATTTAATGGAGTGCCTTAGACATTTCACCCAGTTGTGGGACCAAGCACTGCCATTCCTCTCCGTTCCATGTTGCCATGACTGGTTAGCCACAGTATTTTTCCTGGGCTCAGGAGCCTTACTTACCTCTCTGTCCTACCTAGATCTGTGTCACTGCGCAGCTGAAGAGCGGTCTGCTCCTATGAGGTCCTAACAAGATAAGTCCTGAAATAAGTCAGTGGGGCTCTGGAAGCATTGGGTCAGTGACTTTGCTAGAAGTTTCCCTTTTTAGGACTGATTCTTATTTAGTTTTTTTTTTTTAAATATATTGGTGTAATATGGACAAGAATTTAATTGAAATTTAATTTTTAATTTTCCTTTAATATTTAGGGTGCCAAGCTGTTCTACCTTTCTGGAATGGTACATGGAGAATATCAAAACCAAGAAATTCACAACCTGGGCCGTTTTATTACAGTTATGAAGTTTAGGCCTCTCACATGGCAGACTTCTCATTCTTATATCCTGGCAGACAGGTAAAACGTGAATATAAACTTTTTCTTCCTGGTCTATATATTTCAGAGCTTAAAAGGTTATAAGAATAGTGACTACAGCACTTACTTTGTGCCTATTTGAATAGTGAAGTATAGTTGATGGAACATGTTGAATATTCTTATATTTCACTTAAAGATGCTGATTTACTCCTTCAGGAGTAAATCAATTATATGGTGTTTAGAAAAATCGGAAGATTTTGAAGCACTTAAGACTACAGGATGTGGCCCCATCCTACCTTCAACCTCATTTTCAGGGATGAAGTGCTCTTGTGCTCAAGTCATTCAAACATGCCTTCATTTTCCTTCTTTTGTGCTTTTCCTCATGTGGTTTTCTCAGCCTGAAATACCCTGCCTTCATCTGTTAGAATCCAAGTCACACTAAAAATCATAGGCTAGCCCTTTTCCATAAAGGAATTTTCTAAATATTTTCTTCACTCTTCTGTGTCCCCAGGTAGAGGTCATTTCCCTTTTTGGTGTCTTATGACATGCATACCACTTGCACCCTAAGAGACACAATTATATGTTTGCTCTTTTCTTCTGGTAATCAATGAACTGCTTCCTTATTTCTGTATTTTCTAAACAACGTGCTTATGAACAAGAATGTGGTGAGTCATTGACACATGAAGGGAGGTATAAGAACTTTGACATTCATTTCTGCCATATGATTGAGTTTTATTTTTCTAGGATGGAAGATTTGACAAACCCAGAGGATATCCGAATAAACAACAAATGTGACCGAAAAGTGTCTCTTTATGGCTACTTAAGAGGAGCACACTTGAAAAATAAAAGCCAAATTCACATTCCAGGTATCCTCTTATTGTAAAACATACTAGAATGACCTGTAAAATTCTTGGGACAACTTCATCTCTTAGGAAAGCTGAAAAATGACCAAATAATGGAGAGCTGCTTTGCTGGAGGTTTTAAGAGTGACCCAGTTATGTGTCAACTCACAAAGCTGGAGTAAACCAAATTCCCTTTCCTCTGACCCTGGTATCTTCTAGCTAGAGAGGTACAGTTCCAGTGTTGCCCAATGACCATTTTTAGTGTTGTGTTTTAAAACTTTGAACCATGGGATGTTTTTACCAACAGTTGGTGCTTTTTTTTCCTTCCTAAAACTTAGTTCAAATAAACTATTTATATTAATTTTGCCTCAATTTTTCCTTTAGGTCGACAGTTATTTCTAAAGTTGTACAGTTGGGTTTACTATGACTAAGTATTAAAATAAAATGTAAGAGGGAAACTGAAGCCAGTTTCTCAGCACAATCTTGTAGTCTTCAGAGGCTTGCAAAGGACAGGCATTAATCCCGTCTTTAGCATGAGAACAATTCTTTAAGGTTCACCAAGGGTTGCCTTGTATTCCAGAAAGAGGTAGAAGCACCCAGTTAAACTATGTTCACCCTCAAACTAAAAGGTGGAAGGGACCAGCTTAAGGTCACCCAGAGCACAGGAGAAGTAGAAGGCAAATGCCGTCAAAAAGGCTTTTCCCCTTCTCTGGGGCCCCCCAGGTCTGTAGGCTAAGCTGCTTCCCCTTTTACTCCCCTGACCATTATCATTCATACATCTGGCATCAGCTTGGCCCCCCATGCCGCTATACTTGTTGATGTCTTATCAGCTGAAGCTTCCTGGGTTCTGTCTTCCAGGTGTAGGAGATTTTGCTGTGAGCGATGTCAGTTTCCTCCCAGACCCCTGTGCTCTTCCTGAACATCAAAAGAAGCGTGGTTTAAATGAGAAGGAGAAGCTGGTTTATGCACCTCTCTCTGGAGTTGGGGGTGTACTGTATGACAAGGATGCTGTCTATGTTGATCTTGGTGGTAGCCATGGTTTTCAGGAATCGGTGAGATAGGAATCTTTGTTCTGAACACTCATTATTCTTTCCAAATGTTTTTTTTTTTTTATATCACAGAAAGTAATGTGTTCAGCTTTTATTTATTGAGGTGCTTTATTTATATTAAAGACAAAAATGGATATTGTAAATGTACAGAATATAGAGAATACTTCATTGTACCAAGCAGAAAGTAAGAGTCCTGTGCTCCACACCTCCCTGATCCATGGCCTCTAGCATGGCCATGTGGCCGGTGGTGCTCCTGTGACCCATTCCTCTTTATACAAAATCAGTGTGTTTTCTAGCTCTTGTTGGACTTTTTCTTGTTCACAATAGTCTTCTCATTCTGTTTTTTAAAATGAACTTTGGGTTTTTATTTCTTAGTTCTGAAATGGAATTTTATTGTGTTAAAATAGCCTTTTAATTGCTAGAAAAGCTAGCATTTCTGTAGTATTAAGACCTTAGGTTTTTCTAGCTAAGCATTTAGGTTATCAGGTTATATTCTCTAAACCTTGGAAGAGTTTAATGAAGGTGGGGATCAGTTTCAAGCTTTGTTGTAAGAAATTTCTTCTCTTGGAAGCAAAAAAGGTTCTCAGGAACTATATTTAGGATAATTTTGAGAAACTAATTGAAGCTAATGTCTCTCTAGAATCCTTGTGCTTTCCTTACTTGCCCTTTCTTGGTGGCCTTGACAGGATGAGATGGGGCCCACTCATGAGCTGGTCCAGAGTCTTATCTCCACCCATTCCACCATTGATGCCAAGATGGCTTCAAGTCGAGTGACACTTTTTTCAGATTCCAAACCACTGGGGTCAGATGATATAGATAACCAAGGGTAAGTCTGCTTTTTTTCTATTTTTAATTTAAAAAATACTATATTACAGAAATTATATCAGCCATAATGTAGTCATTATAACACATTTTAGTGGGATTCATTCCAGGTTGTTTTGCTTTTTATCTGTATGTGTTTCTGGGGGCTTTTCACTTATATAATATTACATGGGAGTATTTTCTCAAGACAAAATACAGGATTCATTTTTCAGCAGACCCAAAATCTTCAAATACCACAAAATCTTTTCCATAGGATGTCTTTTGTTTCTTAGGAGACCTGAGGCCACTTGGCTTTCTTTTGGTGGCAAAAATACTAGAGGAGAATCAGGGAGCTTATTTAGATGGCTGTTCAGAAGCCACATGTCTTGTCCTGAAAGTTTTTTTTTTTTTTGAGTTGGAGTCTCACTCTGTCACCTAGACTGGAGTGCAATGGCCACTCCTGGCCACTGCAGCTTCGACCTGCTGGGCTCCGGCGATCCTTCCGCCTCAGCCTTCCAAGTAGCCGGAATTACAGGCATGCGCTACCACGCCCAGCTGATTTTTTGATTTATTGTAGAGATGAGGTCTCGCTGCCCAGGCGGGTCTCAAACCCGCGGGCTCAGGCAATTCACTCACCTCAGCCTCCCAAAGGTGCGGGATTACAGGCTGAGCCCGGCCTGAAAGTTTTACTTAGATTATTTTGTAGTTATCCTGTGGGGAGGTTTCTACTGATATATGGCTTATAGGAATTGTTTTTCAGTGTGGGTTGGGAATTTATATAACTTTATACATAGTATTTGTGAAACGTTGGTTTGTTGTATTGATTTATGATTCCCAGTAGAAATCAATCTGAAAATGACTGAGATTTTCTAGTATATCATTTGTTATAATGTGCATAAACCACTTAGCTTAAGGCCTGACAGATAAGAAGTATTCACTAAAAGATCACCATTATTATAATGTATTATTATCAGCTATTTTCATTTTTACGTATTCCTTTAGTTCATCCTTATGTACATGAGATACTCTTTTCTAACATAGTTATAATGCATGTACAATTTTTATGTATTCTGAGCGTTTCCTTTTTCTATACAGTCTTTATATAGTTATCATTTTGTTATTATTCTAACTTACCCATTCTCTTATGGTGCAATTTTTAGTTTTTCTAATTGATGTTTTCATAATTTTATATATAGTGCTACCTTAAATATCTTTATATAGTTTTTATTTCATCTTGTCATTTTGTGGTTTTAGCTTTTTTTTAATTTAAAGATATGGGGTACAATTCAGAATTAGGTATACAGGTGTTCATTGTACAGGTAAAGTTTGGGCCTCCTTTCATCCCCACTTCACTTTACCTGGTTTGAGATCAGGTAGCCTTATTGATGAAGTGTGCCCCCACCCCAGCAGTGTCCCGCTACTGTCAATCCCTTTCTGATTGTATTCTAGTAAATGTTCAGAGTCCACTTGTGAGTAAGAACATGTGGTACTCAGTTCTTTGTTTCTGTGATAGATTACTGAGTATTACAGACTAAATCCATCCAGGTTGCTGTGAAGTACATAATTTTGTTCTTCTTTGTGACTGTATAGTATTCCATCATGTATGTGTACCACATCATGTATATGTACCATACTATATCTAGTCCTGTTTTGATGGGCAGCACAGTTGGTTCCATGTTTTTGCTATAATAAATAGTGCTGCGATAAACGTATATGTAGGTATCTTTTTTTGTAGAATGAATTGAGCTCCTCTGAGTATATTCCTCGGAGGAGGATTGCTGGATCATATGGAGGGTCAATTTCCAGTTCTTCTAGAAATCGCCACAATGTTTTCCATAGAGATAGAACTAATTTGCATTCCTACCAACAGTGTAGAAGTACTCCCTTTTCTCCACATCCTTGCCAGCATCTGCTTTTGTTGTTTTTTTGTTTTATTAATGGTGGCCATCCTTACTGAGTTAGGTGATGCTTCAATGTGGTTTCAATTTTCATTTCTCTGATGTAAGTGAGGCTGAGCATTTTTTCATGTGTCTGTTGGCTACCCGTATATCTTCATGTGATACCTTCATGTCTTTTGCCCACTTTTTAATGGGGCTGTTTGTTTTTTTCCTTTTGGCATGTTTGAGTTCCTTGTAGATCCTGGATGTTAGGCTTTTGTCAGATATGCAGTGGGGAAATATTTTTTCCCATTCTGTGGACAGTCTCCCTGCTCTCTTGATGATTTCTTTTTGCTTTGCAGAAGCTTGTCAGTTTGATAAGGTCCCACATGTCAGTCTTTTATGGTGTGGGCCTTAGAGTTTTGGTAAGGAATTGGTTGCCAGTTCCAATTTCCATAAGGGTGTCTCCTGTGTTTTTTAAGATTCTTAATGTTTGAGGTTTTATGTTTAGGTCTTTGATCCATTTGGAGTTGTTTTTTATGTATGGTGCTAGGGAGGGGTCCTGTTTCATTCTTCTGCACATGATCAGCCAGTTTTCCCAGCACCATTTACTGAATTGGTTCTCCTCTCGCAGTTGTTGTTGGAGACTTTGTCGAAGATGAGTTAGTTGAGAAATTGAGGTTTTGCTTCCTGAATCTCTATTCTGTTCCATTGATCTATGTGCTTGTTTTTGTACCAATACCAAGTTGTTTTGATTGTTGTAACCTTATAATAAAGTTTACCTCCCACTTTTGTTTCTTTTGCTAAGGATTGTTTTGGCTATTCATGGTCATTTTGTTTCCATGTGAATTTCTGTATTGTTTCCAGGTCTGAGAAGAATGATGTTTGTAATTTAATGGGTATTGCATTGAATCTGGATTGCCTTTGGTAGGATGGACATCTTATCAATGTTGATTCTTCTAGTCCATGAGCATGAAATATTTTTCCATTTGTTTGTGTCATCTTTGACTCCTTTGAGCAGTGTTTTATAGTTTTCATGGTAAAGGTCTTTCACTTCTCTGGTTAGGAAGATGCCAAGGGATTTCATTTTTTGTGTGGCTATTGTGAATGGGATTGTGCTTTTTATTTGGTTCTCTGCCTGCTTGTTGTTGGTGTATAGGAATGTGACTGCCTTTTGAGTGTTTATTTTGTACCTAAGGACTTTGCCAAAGTCCTTTATCAATGCAAGGAGGTTTTTGACAGATTCTCTGAGATTTTCAAGGTATAGGATCATATCATCAGCAAAGGATAACTTGACTTCTTCTTTTCCTATTTGGATACTCATGATTTCTTTCTCTTGTCTGATTTCTCTAGCTAGGACTTCCAAAAATATATTAAACAGGAGGGATGAGAGAGGGCAGCCTTGTCTTGTTCTGATTTTCAGGGGAAGTGCTTCCAATTTCTGTCTGTTTAGCAATATGTTGGCTGTGGGTTTATAATAGATGGCTCTTACTATTTTGAGGTATGTTCCCTTTATACCTGGTTGTTCAAGGGTTTTTATCAAAGAGGGATGCTGGAATTTATCAAAAGCTTTTTCTGCATCTGATGATATAGTCATGTGGTTCTTGTTTTTACATCTGTTGATGTATTTAATTACCTTTATGATCTTGTGGATGTTGAACCAACCCTGCATCCTGGGAATGAAGCCTATTTGGTCATGGGGGATAATTTTTGAGATGTGTTGTTGGATCCGATTTGCTGGATTCTTGCTGAGTATGTTTGCATCTGTGTTCATCAGGGATATTGACCTGTAGTTCTGTTTCTTAGTTGGATCTTTACCCGGTTTGGGTGTCAGTGTGATGTTAGCTTCATAAAATGATTTGGAGAGTGTTCCATCTTTCTCGATTGCCTGGAATACTTTCAATAGGATTGGTATTAGCTCCTCCTTGTATGTTTTGTAGAATTCCTCTGGAAAACCAACTGGTCCAGGACTTTTTTTTGTAGGTAGTTTTCTTATGATAGAGTCAGTTTCCTGTGTTGTTATTGGACTATTTAGGATCTCAATTTCTTCTCGTTTCAACCTTGGGAGGTTGTATGATGTCAGAAAGTACTCAGTTTCATTTAGGTTTTCAAGTTTCCATACACATGTGCATAGTAATCTCTGATAATCTTGTGTTTCTTCAGGGTCAGTTGTGACTTGATCTTTTGCATTTCTGATTGTGTTTATTTGGGCCTTTTCCCTCTTTTTCTTGATCATTCTGGCTAGGGGCCCATCAGTCTTGTTTATCCTTTCAAAGAACCAGCTTTTTGTTTCATTGATTTTTTTTTTTTCCTATGGTATTTTTGTCTTCTGTGCCCCATATTTTAACTTTTACTTTGGTGTTCTGGATTTTTCTGCTGAAGTTAGGGTTTTAGTGGTCTTGCCTTTTCAGCTCCCTTAAGTTATTTGTTAAGCTGTTGATTTATTCTCTATTTTCTTGATGTGTGTTCATAGAGAAAAAGATTTCTCTCTCAGTACTGCTTTCGTGGCATCTAAGAGGTTTTGTTAAGATGTTTTTTGTTTTAATTTGTTTCCATGTATCTTTTCATTTCTGTTTTGGTTTCTTTTTTGACCCAGGAGTTGTTCAGCATCATGCTGTTTAGTGTCCATGTCCTTTTGGGTTTTAGGATAATTTTGTTGGTGGTGATATTTATTTTTATTCCACTGTGGTCTGAGAAGGGGCATGGCAGTATTTCAATCTTGTGAAATTGTTTATGCTTGATTTGTGGCCAAGGATGTCGTTGATCTTGGAATATGTTCCATGTGGTAATGAGTAGAATGTATATTCTGTTATTGTTGGGTGGAGTGTTCTATAGGCATATACTAAGTTCATTTGGTCAAGTGTCAAGTTGAGGTTCTGGATCTCTTTGTTGATTTTCTGCCTTGTTCTGTCTAGGGTTGTTAGCAGGGTATTTAAGACTCCAGCTATAATATTGTTATAGTCAATATCTCTTTTTTAGTTTACTTAGTAGCTGCTTTATAAAAACCGGTGCTCCTGTGTTAGGTGCATATATGTTTAGTTTAAGATGGATATATCTTGTTTTATAAAAACCGGTGCTCCTGTGTTAGGTGCATATATGTTTAGTTTAAGATGGATATATCTTGTTTTATAAAAACCGGTGCTCCTGTGTTAGGTGCATATATGTTTAGTTTAAGATGGATATATCTTGTTGATGGATTGAACCTTTTATTATTATGTAGTGTCCTTCCTTTTTAAATTTTTGATAGCTTAAAGGTTTTTTTGTCTGACATTTAGATCGCAACTCCTGCCCTCTTTTGTGATCCATTCACCTGGAAATTTGTTTTCCATCCTCTAACTTTGAGTTTGTCTGTGTCCTTTGTGGGGAGATGAGTTTCCTGGAGACACTAAATTACTGTGTCATGTTTTTTAATCCAATGTTCCATTTTATGTCTTTTCAGTGGTGCATTAAGTCCATTCATATTTAGACAGATTATTGAAATGTGAGAGTTTGTCCCTGTCATAATACTCTGATAAGCCTGTTTTTTTTCATTTACCTTTTGTGTTCATATATGTATGTGTTTTTATTTTTGCAGGTATGTTATATGTTCTATTGCTTCTGTTTGTAATCTTATGAAGCATATGGTCTTTCTTTTGTTTCTTTTTTCTTCTGTGCACAACACCTTCTAATAAAAGCATCCCCCTGTAGAGCTGGTCTCAGAGCAGCATGTTCTCTTAGGGACTGGATGTCTGGGAAGGATTTTAATTTGCCCTCACTGATGAAGCTTAGCTGGCTGGGTAGGAAATTCTTGATGGAAATTGTTTATCTCTGAGAACATTAAAGATTGAGGCCAATTCCTTCTGGCCTGTAGTGTTTCTGCAGATAAGTCTGCAGCAATTCTTACTGGTCTCCCCCAGTAGGTAGTCTGACCTTTTTTTCCTTGCTGCCTTTAGGGTTTCTTCTCTCATACCTACTTTGTGCAGGCGTATTACTATGTGTCTAGGTGTTGGTCTTCTTATAAGGCATCTTGCAAGGATTCTTTGAATCTCTTGTGTTTGTATAGTTGTCTCTCTGGCCAAATGAGGGAGGCTTTCTTGAATGGCCTCATGGAATGTTTGTTCTAGGGTATCCTCTATTTCTCTTTCTATTTCAGGTATTCCAATCAGACGAGGGTTTGGTTTCTTGATAAAATCACTCATCTTGGAGAGTTTCTTCTTAAATTTTTTTCTATATTTTTAATAGGTCGGGTTAATTCCATATTTTGGTCTTCCAGCTCTGAGATTCTTTCTTCTGCTTTGTCAGTTCTGTTTCCCAAGCTTGTCAGTTTGTCATTTATTTCTTGGATGGAATTCTTTATTTCTGTTATTTCTAAGTACACTTCCTTGAGTTTGTCCAAGGCTGCTATAATTTCATTTAGTTTTAGCCCTTAACATTTCTTGATTTTTATTCATTCTATCCAATGATTCTCTGATCTCTGTAAGTACCTTCTGGGTACTATTGTTCTCAAAGATAGCCATTGTTTTTGCCCCAGTAGTTATTTTTTCTAGCACTGACTCTTTGCTGGGACTCTGGTTGTCAGCAGTTCTTCGTTGTTTTTTCTTTGTAGCAGTTCTCATATATTTCTCTTTAATTTCATTGCCCAGTAGAAAATGGAGAAGCAGTCACTTCTGATATTTGCTCTACCTTTTGTCCTTCCTTGAGCTGGGGCTGTGAATTTGTTTAATTATGAAGTAAGGTGTTGTGCTGTCTCTTTACAATTTTGAGCACTTACTAGTGGAAGAGGGGGAGCTGCAAGAATTCAGAATCTATTGGCAGGTTATAATGTTTGCTGTCTGGTGACTCATTCTGCATCTCTGCACCATATGACCTTTCAGTGGGTATGCTTGCTTAGCCCTTGAGCCCAAGACAGCATATAAGAAGAAGAGAGAAGAAGGAGGCAAAAAAGGGAAAGGAAGAGAAAGGAAAAGAAGAAAGCAAAATAGAAAAAGAAAAAAACACAAAAAAACAGAGAAAGAGCAAAGAAAGAGAAATAGAAGGAAAGAAAAGAGAAAAACAACCAACAAACAAAGCAACCAAATGAGATAATCAAACAAACAAACCAATACCACCACCAGCCTCCTTCTCGGTCAGTTCGCTGTCTGCATCTATTGCCCAGCAGCTGACTCAGGGTGAAGGATGGATTGTCTGGGGTTCTGTATATGCTCTTACCTGCCAGGGCTTGTGCACTGGAGGAAATGTTCTCTCAGGTCGCAAAGAGCAGCCCCAACGCAACGCAGAGATCAGTGCATGGTCTCAAGATGCAGTTCTGCTGTTCCACAGAGACCGCCTTGGAGTACTTCTCTGTTCAGGTGTTAGCACTTCTCTGCTCAGTTTCTCTGCTGGGAGGTCCTTTCCCAGCAGTTATCAGTCTCTGGACCTCAGGACCTGGTAGCAGGGCTCTGGAGCCCTGTCCAGGCTTGAGGTGGGCTCTCCCCACTGCTTTCTTGGGAATCTGTTCAGGCTCCCTCCCTGTGTTCCCTCCACAGCCCTCACTGCCAGTGTTCAGCTTACTTCAGCAGATTTTCCTGGGAAAAGCTCCCAAGTTGTCTGCCACTAGGTTTCCTGCTCTGACTGATATGCGTCTGTGTTTGGTCCAGTGTGGGGATATGGCGTCTATCTCTCAGGTATTGGGCACTTGAGTATCCTCTCTGGGCAAATGATGGTTGATGTCAGAGGGGTATAGAGATCACCCCTTGGTCTCAGGATGCAGGCTGCTCAGGATACAGGCAGCTCTGAATTGGGCAAGATAAAGCAGGACTCTTCCCAGTCCCAGGACAGAAAATGGTGGTAGTCTGTGGTTTTGTCCTCCAGCGGGGCTCAACTCCAGAATTCCTCTTGGCATTTATTCCATGGTCCCTGCTGCCTGTCCCTGGCCTGTTGCCTCAGGTGGTATGGGCCAGGTGCCAGCTGATCTCTTCTGCCTTTTCCTGAGAGATTGCCCAGGGATGGTGGATCCTTCTGTGTGCAGCGGGTGCTGAATTCAGAGCAGCAGCAGATTGTACCAGTTTCTGCAGGGGGCCCTGAGTACCTGGTCCTATGTCTCCCCTTAGTTGGACATTCACTCGCTCACTTGCACACACAAACAAACACGGATTACTTTTTGTGTGCACTCACCCATGCAGAGACTCTCGCACTGTGACCAGGTCCAACGCCATCTTGCCTTCAATGGGTAATGCCATTTTAGCATCTTAATGATTCTTCTGTATCAGTTATAGCATTCAGGACTTCAAAATGGTGATTTTCTTAATCTCTCATTTCTTCTGCATTTGTTAGCTAGCATTTTTAAACAAAGAGCTTTCAATTTCTCCTTTATTTCAATATCACTGTTCATTAATGGGCTTATGTTTTAATCTGTGTTATTTTCTCATCACTGTCATTATTTTTTCTGATGCCTACATTGTCCCAGACTTGGCTGTGGGAGCCCTCAGCCTGTCTCCTGTGTCCTTTCAGCATGTCCCTGTAGTCTTTGAACACTTCTTGCTTTCTAACACAAGATGATCCAAGCTTAATTTTTCCTTTTTCTATTTTGGGCCTGGAGTTACCTGTTTCCCTTAAGAATTGTGTGTTCCCAGCTTGGAAATTAATCAGCCTTCCAAAATGTCTGCAAAGAGACTAACTTCCCTTTTAAGCAATTTTTTTCTAAAATTAGAAAATTTTTTTTCTAAAGTTATTTCTTTATTCCCTTTATAAGTTCTTTTGAAATGTAGTATTAGGGAACTATGTGTGAATTTGCTTATTTACTGTTCCAGTGTTTATTAGATCTTTTTTTCTGTGCTGTATTATTGTAAGCCTAATTTCTTGACATTTTCTGTTTCTTTGCTTTTTATTGATCATGTTGCTGTTTCTGTATTAACCAATTATTGTACAAATATAATTATTTTGCGTTTTCCTGGTAATATAGGTTGTGGATGCCAAAGGAGGAAAAGCAAATGGATTTGAAAACTGGTCGAGTGCGTCGGAAGGCCGTTTTTGGAGATATGGAAGATGAGTCTGGAGACAGTGACGATGAAGATGATGATGAAATGTCTGAAGATGACAGGTTGGAAAATGACTCTAGTGGTGACAAAACAGAAGAGGAGGAAGATACTGAAATGACTAATAAGAATATGACTGTTAAAGGTGTCAAACGGCAGAAACTTGAGGAGCTAGAAGAAGACAGTGAGATGGATATGCCAGCATTTGCTGATAGTGATGATGATCTTGAAAAGAGCTCAGGAGAAGAAGAAATGGAAGAAGCTGATGAAAGCAGTGAAGAAGAGGACTCCACTGTAGAAGGAGAGGGGGGCATTTTAGAATCAAAGGCTGTTGGAGAAGGTGGCAAAGCAGGACTATCTCCAGCTGATCGCAGTGACCATGTGAATTTGGAGAAGTCTTTGCTGATGAAAAAAGTGACTCTTACCACTTCCGATTCTGGCCATTGCACAGCTGAAGAGGCATTTGCATCTGAAGATGAATCTGAAGAAAGCACCTTGCTCAGTTCAGAGGAAGAGGACTCAGAAGATGAAGAGGATATTAGGGGAAAGCTTTCTCAAGTGGGCAGTGGTCAGAAACTGGGTTCAGAGAACTTAATTGATGAGACCAGTGATATAGAAGATTTACTCAAAGAGGAAGAAGATTACAAGGAAGAAAATAATTGTTCCACAGAAACCTCCGGTATGCTTAAATTTACTTGGCTGTTGCTATAAACTTGGCACTCAAAATGTTACTATAAATGGAACGTCTGCATTTGGGGGTCTGCTGTTTTGATGATTTTGTTAACTGTTCAATGGTTGCATTATGAATGGATCTTGAAGCAGAAATAAAAGGACCTAACTGAAGGATGGCATTGGTCATTTCAGGTGCCTTCAAGTGGAAGGAAGATCTTTCCAGGAAAGCAGCCGAAGCCTTTCTGAGGCAGCAACAAGCAGCTCCAAACCTCCGAAAGCTTATTTATGGGACAGGTAAAGACCTCTGGTTCAAAGTTAGAAATGTTTTAGTTTTTTAGATTTTTTTTTTTTTTCCAGAAGAGGAGATAAGTGAATTGGCTGGGGGGTTAGTCTGGTACTTTTGACATTCACAATTCCTGTCACATTTCATATTTGGCAGATGTTTTTAATTATCAGCTCAAGAGGACCACAATTGGCCATATGAAATAGATTTATGGGTCTGCCAGAAACTATCGATGCCAACACTGTTCATCACATCATGTCATAACCCCTATTTAAAAGTCCTTTATGATAAATTTTTTGTAGAATTTACTGCCAGGAAAATATTTCTTTCTGTCAAAATCTTTGTTTTTTTCTTGTTGAGAATGAGAACGCTGTGTAATTCATTCTGTTCTCTTTTGCCCTACTCCTATTTTATGTTTTTTTAAACTTTGTATATATTTATTTTCTTTTGGAAAAGGTAATGGAAAAATAAATATAACGTGGTGAGCTTTGTATTGTGCTACTCAGTTACTAGACGAATTAGATCAAGGCCACATGATTAGTCATTTGGGCTAGGAGTATTGAGTAGGACTGTTGTATACTGATTTTCATTCAGGTTTTGCCTTAGTACACTTAGTGATTAGAGATGCAACATTCTTCAAAGAAACTTTTCTATAATAATTTAAAACTCTGCCTTTAAATGTCCCCTTCCTCCCTTAACCTCCATATTTCACTCCTCAGTGATCTCTTGGCTGCTGCCTTGCAGGACGACAAGAGTACTCCAAATATGTCTAGCAGTTGTTTTCTTCGTCTTGGTTGACTTGTTCTTTTGGTGGCTAACTTATTCAGGGCCATCACCATACCTACCACAAACAGGCCCTCAGTCCCTTAGTTTTAAGATACATGGCCTAAGTGGTTGAACATGATGAGTCCTCTAGGCCTGTCCTCTAGGCTTCTAGTTTGTATTCTCACTTTGCCATCATGATGGTCTCTTTAGTGACAGAGGATAATGAAGAAGAAGATGGTGATACCCAAGAAGAACTTGGAGGGTTGTTTCGTGTCAACCAGCCTGACAGACAGTGTAAGCACAAGGCTGATTCTTTGGACTGTTCCAGGTTTGTTGTGGAGGCACCACATGATTGGGATTTAGAAGAGGTAAGACTGAATAGTATGTTTGACTTATGAGAAAATTAGGGAATTGTTCTAGAAGAAGATTGATTTTAATATGGCTTGCCTGTTATTGGCTTCTTATTATACGATAACAGGTTATCTTTCCAGTTATTGCAGTGAACAGTTCATGCATTCTAAGCAATAACATGTTCTTAGTTTAGTTAGACCATGTACATGTGTTATGGAGGAAAAGTTCAACTTTTAAAGTGGATAGTAGTGTCAGTCTTTATTTCAAAATGTCACACGTTTTTATACATTTTAAATACATTTTGTATCTTATAAGTAGGATATACCTGTTGTCCCCGAGCTAACATGTACAACTTCCACTGTTTGTAAGCAAACAAATCTGTGACACCTGTAAATGTTCTCCCAGCTCACCACTTTCTAGTCACGCTAGAATTCATTCAGTTTCAAACTTGTCAAGGCTTAATCCCATCTTAGACCTTTTCCCCCATCTACTTTCTTTTCTGGAATGTTGTTCTGATCTTCCAAAGGCTGACTTTGGTTATTCAGTTTAGCTTTAGATGTCATTCCTCAGAGAGGCCGAATCATTATCATATTACCTATGTAATATGTAATATCATATTACCTATGTAATATGTGTGAAGTGGTATCACTTTACACACTTTATGAGATTTTATTTAGCCATTTCTTTAATGGCAAAATTTAATACAGATGTAGAAAAGCCATATAAAAACAATTGCTTGACTTAATGAATTGCTAGAAGGTGAATTCACCTTCAGGAAGAAATCAAGATATGAAACCACTACTCAGGCCAAGAAATCAAACTTTCCTGCTACCCAGCAGTGTTGTATGTGGCCACCCCAGCCATAGTAGCCACAGTCCCCTTCTTTCCTGCAGAAGAACTGTGATGGTGATCATTTCCATTTCTTCATAATTTGGTCCTCAAATTTTGCATCACTAAGCATCATAGTTTACTTTTACTTGGTTTTTATTATTTTTCACTCTACCTTTTAAATTTCTCAGTCAACAATCCTGCCTTCCCCCACATTTTGTATTTTTTTGTTGTTGCATTTTATTGAAGAAGCCAAGTATTTGATATGTAGAGTTTTTTATATTCTGCATTTTGTGGATTGCTTTGCTTCCCTGTGTGCAGTTTATCAGGCCCTCTTCTGTTTTTTTATAAATTGGTATGCAACAGTACTAATAGAACTTTCTGTGCTGATGGAAATGTTGTATATATGAGTTGTCCAATGTGGCTACTTATGACTGTTGAGCACTTTAAATGTGGTTTGTGAGACTGAATAACTAAATTTTTTATTTTATTTAAGTTTAATTTTAATTGAGTTCAGATTAATTTGAATAACCATGTGACTGTAGTTACCTTATGGACAGAACATCTAGAAATTTGATAGGATTTCAATTTGATTTTTATCTTTTGGCAACACTGCTTCCTAAGTGGTATTGTCTTGTCATTAGGAAGCATATAAAGTCTAGTTGTCTCTTTTTGTGGTGTTAGTAGTTGTTGACGCTAAATGCCTAGAACCATTAATTTCTTAAGAATGTAGAATGGTGATCTATTCCATCATTTCTCTTTATTTACTAGCTGGAATACTTTGTAAAAAGAAACTTCCCCTCATCTACTATTTGGTTACTCAATTCCATATAAACAGGATAAATACTTGATTTTTTAAATCAATGATTCTCCAAAGATGACTTTTTTTTTAGTATCATTATTAAGTTATGGAATTTTTTTTTTTTTTTTTTCCGAGTTGGAGTCTCATTCTGTTACCCAGACAGGAGTGCGGTGGCCGGGAGCGGTCACCCAGCCTCGACCTGCTGGGCTCCAGCAATCCTTTCACCTCAGCCTTCCAAGTAGCTGGGACTACAGGCGCACGCTACCACGCCCGGCTCATTTTTGATTTATTGTAGAGATGAGGTCTCGCCAAGTTGTCCAGGCGGGTCTCGAACCCGCGGGCTCAGGCATTCCACTCACCTCAGCCTCCCAAAGGTGCAGGATTACAGGCTGAGCCACCAAACCCGGCTAAGTCATGGATTTTAGTTGGAGTCTCACTCTGTCACCCAGACTGGAGTGCAGTGGCCACTCCCGGCCACTGCAGCCTTGACCTGCTGGGCTCTGGCGATCCTTCTGCCTCAGCCTTCCAAGTAGCTGGAACTACAGGTACGCGCTACCACACCCGGCTAATTTTTTGATTTATTGTAGAGATGAGGTTTTGTCAAGTTAACCAGGTGGGCCTCAAACCGATGGGCTCAGGCAATCCACTCATCTCAGCCTTCCAAAGCGCGGAATTGCAGGCTGAGCCACCGAGGCCGGTTAAGTCATGGATTTAAATATAGTTGATGTGTTTCATTCTGTTGCACCTGTTATCTATATTGATGCTCATATTTAGCCCATCTGTGGCCCTTAGGATTCTCTTCACGTTGTCTCCTGCGTCCTTTTAACATGATCTTAGTCATCCTTGATGACTTCCTTGCTCTGTGATGTGATAAAGTGCCCAGCATCATCTTGTACATTTTTAAGCCAGAGTTAGAATTAACCATAAGAAGGTCCTGATTTCTTTTAGTAGAAAAGGGTATTTCAGTATTATAATCTAGGCATAGGGATGCTTATTGCTATGAATTGGGCATTGTTTCTGAGTCTTCTCAGTGACCAGAACTAGGGGAATTTATAGAGATATTTCCAGTTCACCTTTAGGATTGCATCTTATATCTGTATTCATTCTACCCCTGGAAAATTATTTTCCAGTCAAATCTGGAGCTGATGAAATTGGGAAATCATATAATTACTAATTTGCTTTAACTTGCGTTACCCACAAAACAATATCAGAATAATATGATTACTGAAAATAGTTAAAAGTTTTTTTCCTCATATGGTCTCATTTCTCTTTTCAAAATTGACTGAATTGTTTTATATACCCACCAGCAGTGTATGTGGGTTCTAATTCTCCATATCCTCACTGACAGTTGTTATTGTCTATTTTTTTTATTATAGCCATTCTAGTGTATGTAAAGTAATATCTCATTGTGGCATTGATTTGCATTTTTCTGATGGACATCTTTTTATGTGCTTATTGGCCATTTGTATATACTCTTTGAAGAAATGTCTTCATATCGTTTGCCTGTTTTAAAAATTGGGTTATATGGTTATATGAGTTGTGTATATATTCTAGATATAAGTCCCTTATCAGACACATGATTTGCAAATACCTTCTCCCATTCTATAGGAATTAAGTTTGCAAACAGACACAATAGGTTTGGATTAACATACGGCAAGACCATCTTTGTCAAATACTCTTACTGCTTTACCATAAAAACCTTAAGAAACCTTGAAAATTAATTGAATTAGTAGATATCTGTTGTATTTACTTATGAGGTCAATGAACTAGTAAGTGCCTTCTCTAATGTTAAGATATATTTTATCCTATGGTTATACTGTCTACATCACAAAAACAAAGTTATTTCTTAGGCCCACTTGATATAAGCATATCCATGAAAGTGTCTTGAGAAGTATTTAAAGGCAAGTTGTTGCCTACTACCATTTCTTAATAGCAGTTATTTTGTTGAGTGATTGAAGCATGTCAACTAAGTGCTAACTTTTCCATGTAAGGTTATGAACAGTATCAAAGATTGCTTCGTGACTGGGAAGTGGGAAGAGGATAAAGATGCAGCCAAGATCTTAGCAGAAGATGGTAAGTAAAGTGCTGTATTCTTCAGAGGAGATTGGCTTCTCTGTCCTTTATTTTCTTTCATATCTTAAATAATAGTCAAATTGAAAATAAGAGTAGATTGTGAAATGCATTGGGGAACTCTGACAGGAGTTATGGGTAATAATCTAGTTTTTTCTTTCATGATCTTATTTTGTCCCCTTGGCTAACTGATTTATAAGATATGGACCTTAAAGAAAAGTGAGAAGCTTTCTGTAAGTTTTATCATGCATTAGATTTGGTGTGTGTGAACAATGTACACAAACTTTTCTTTTGATGATAAAGGTAATGTGCACTGTGAAAAACTTAGAATAAAAAGTGCATATTATACCAGAATTCCACCTATTAAAAAAACCTTTGTTAACTTTTCGAAATATTTTCTTCAAATCATTTAAAAACTGTATTTGTATAGACTTTTAGTTATAGTCATACTTTACATAAATTTTGTCATTAAATTTTTTCAAAGATTTCATTTTTATGATTTAAATATCATACTGTAATTCAAGTCGCAGTTCTGTTATTTGACATTTAAGCAGTTTTGTACTTCATCCAAATTATAAAGAACTCCACACTGAAGGACCTTGAAATAATTGTTGGTCACATTTTTAATTTTAATAAGATAGGTTCATAAGTGTTAAAATTGAGTTATTGATTGCAACTGCCAACTAGTTTTTTAGAAAATTATTTATGTCCCTGCAAGCAGTACATCTTTGTACTTACATGTTACTGCTTTTATTCAACATTGAGTACTGTGTATAATTTTTTCTTTTTTTTGCCAATTGTAAAATGAGTTTTTCTTATATTTGTAAGTAACATTTCTCCAAGTACTCATAAATGAGAATATTTATCTAAGGCTGTGGCATTTCTTTGGTAAATTGCTTATTTGTGTCCTTTGCCCATTTTGCAATTGACTTTTGGAAGAGAAAATGTTCCTCATTCTGAGTCTTTGTTTCCTTGTTGTTTCACTTAACATGTTCTTCCTCTGTTTCCCCAAACTTCAATAAGCTACATATTAGGATGGAAGACTTGATTAAATTCAGGTTAAACATTTCTGGCAAATATGCATGTATGTGTATCTAGAAGGTTTTCTTAGAGGTCATCTTAGATAACATTTTCAGTTTCTCCTGAAACTCTTGGTTGGTTTTTTTTGTGGTGGTACTTACAGTTTTTATGTTTATATTTTAACATTTTAATGAGTTATTCTTAATATTATTTTCACAAACTGTTTTACTGAAATTTTAAATTTATTATAGAATTTAAAACTCTCATCTGTTATGTACCTTCTTATTTCCAATTTTGTTCCTCTAATTTTTTTTTTTTAGCCCATAGCAGAGGTATTTTATTTTATTTTATTTTTTATTTATTTATTTTTTAACTTTAAAATTTTTAATTTTAAAATTGTAGGATACAATTCAGGGTTAAGTATACAGATATTCATTGTGCAGGTACCCTTGTTGATGAGGTGTGCCTCCCCTTCCCCAGGCAGATTCCCACTACTGCCAATCCCACCCCCTCCCCTGCAGTTTCCTGCTACTGTCAATCCTTTTCTTGTAGTATTATGATAGTTGTTCAAGGTCCACTTATGAGAACATGTGATACTCAGTTCTCTGTTTCTGTGAAAGATCACTCAATATTATAGACTCTGAGTCCATCCAGGTTGCTGCAAAGTTCATATTTTGTTCTTTATGGAATATGTGTAATATTCCATTGTGTATTTGTTCCTCTAATTTTTTAATGTTAAATTTGCAGATTATCTATTTATTAGATCCACAACTTGTGGATTTATTTTTCAGTTCTATTATTTTCTTCATGATTAGAAAATTAATGGGATCCAGCTGTTCCTTTTACTTGTATTCCATAGTTGTGGGATTACAAAATAAATTTTGGTTACTTTTGTTAAGGAAAGCGCCTCTTAAAAGTTGAGGACTTGCCTGGGCTTAGTGCCTCAATCTGTAATCCTAGCACTTTGGGAGGCTGAAGCAAGTGGATTGCCTGAACCTGTGGGTTTGAGACCAACCTGGGCAACTTGGCGAGACCTCATCTCTACAATAAGTCAAAAATTAGCTGGGTGTGGTAGTGCACGCCTATAGTTCCAGCTCTTTGGAAGGCTGAGGCAGATGGATCGCTGGAGCCCAGCAGGTCGACACTGGAGTGACCATGAGTGTGCCACTGCTCTCCAGTCTGGGTGACAGAGTGAGACTCTGATTCAAAAAAAAATTTGAGTACTGGCTTAGTGTTCAGCTTAATGAATTTTGACAATTGCATATACCAGTGCCTATCACCCAAAGCAAGAATAAGAAAATTCCCATCAATCCAAAAAATTTACCTGTGCACCTTTGCAGTCAACAGCCCAACCTCTGCCCTGGGCAGCCACTTTCAAATTTCTGTCACCACAAATCTGTTTTGCCTGATTGTGGATTTCATACAACTGTAAGCAGACAATCTGCATTCTTTAGTATCTAGGTTCTTTGCTTCAGCATAATGTTTTCATTTTTAATAACTGTTGACATATATTTTATACACAATAAAATACATGTTTTAATAATAAAGTTTGGTCTGTTTGGACGATGTTATATGCTCATGTATATTACAGTCAAGAAATAAAACATTCCATCGCCACAGAAAGTAAACCCTCCTGCTCCTTTGCAGTCAGTTCCCACCCCCACAAACCCATTATCTGCCTTCTTTCACTATATATTAGTTTTGTCTTTCCTGGAATTGCATAACAAAGTATACTCTCTTTTGTCTATGGATTCTATTACTTAAGCATAATGTTTGTGAGATTCTTTCATATTGTCGTTTCTTTCTTCTTATTGCTGAGTAGAATTCTGTTGCATGGATATGCAATCGTTGTTTATCCATTTTTCTCTTGATGGCCATTTCAGTTGATTCCAATTTTTGGCTATAATGATTAAGGCTGCTCTGAACATTTGTGTATAGGTATTTTTGTGGAAATCAGTTTTTGTTTCTCTTTGGCACAAATCTAGGAGTGGAATGACTGGGCTGTAAGGTAGATGGATGCCCAGCTTTATAAGAAACTAAGAGAGTCTGACCATCTTTAATGCTGGACTGCTGACAACTTTTAAGCTCTCTCTCTCTTTCCCTTCTGTCCCACTCCTGGGTAGCTGACAAGAAATCCCAGGTGCTCCCTCTTTTGGTACCAACAGGAGGTTTCTATGTTCACTCCTACCCTCACGCAAGCCCCACACCTGAAACACTCACTAAAGCCTCCAAGCCATTCTCTCTCTCTCAATAATCTCAATCCATATTTGAACTAGCTCAGAAAGTCAGTTCTGCCCTCCTCAGAAAGCCTCATTATGTGAGTCATAAATCTTCTTGCTGCATGTATATTGTCGTCAGTCTTAGCATCCAAACTAAATTTTGGGTGGCAGATCCATCCTGTCTCTATGAGGTGACCACAAAACAAACTGCCTAGCAGTTTTCCAAAGAGTACTTCAGCAGTGGGTGAGTTTCAGTTGTTCACATCTTCACCAACATTTGGTATCACCAGTCTTTTTTGATTTAACCATTTTAGTGGATATGAAATAGTATCTAATTGTGGTTTTAATTTTCATTTTCTGATAAGTAACAATATTGAGCGTGTTTTTGTGTACTTATTGACCATTCGAATACCTTCTTTTGTGAGATGTCCATTCAAGTCTTTTGCCAATTAACAAAAACCAAAAACTTCATTTTAGAGTAGCTTTAGATTTATAGAAAAGTTGTTATAAAATACAGTTCCCAAATTGAAAGAAGTTCGGCGCCAGTGACGACTCCTTACCCGTTTAAGGCCAAGAGATTTATTAAAGCGGTGGTTACAAGGGAAAAAGGGAAAGGGTCTGTGGGGAGAGAGGCAGGGAGAGAGGTGCAGAGAGGGAGAGAGTGACAGAGAGAGAGAGAGAAAGAGAGACCGAGGGAGAGAGATATGCAGGGAAAAGGCTGTATTTACTAGCCTGACAGGGGCCGGAAGGGGCTGTGCTAGGTTCTTATTGGAGGAGCGGCATGGGAGTAGGGTGGGGCCGACGCTGTGTTATAGTCCTATTGGATGCATAACTGGCTAAGGATTGGAGGCTTGCAGGTTTGAACTTCCCGCGCGCGGGAAATTGTGCACACAGAAGCCGGGACCTAGGGCCTTTGTTGTCTGGTGTGTTCTCACCATGCTCGGCGCCATTCTGGGAGCCCCCCCTCTGGTCGCTTCCTGCACCCTTCACAAATACCTCACATGCAGTTTCCCCTGTTGTTGCCATGTTACATTCGTATAGCGTATTTGTCACAGTTAATAAATAAACAGTGCTAACAAAATCTTGCATCTTTGGGAATGTGACCATCTTTCCATGTGCTAAAGGGTTACTTGTATTTCCTTTTCCATGGACTGTCTGCATATGCCTTGCCTGTTTTTCTATTAGGTTACTGTTCATCTTTTTCTTACTTATTTGTAGGAATTTTTTATATATTAGGAGAATTAGCCTTTTGTGGTACGAGCTGGCACATCCCCCTGCCCCCAGTTTAACATTTGTATTTTACCTTTGTGATTCTTTTATGTGAATTTTTTTCCTAGTGAAGTTAGATTTATCAGTTTTGCCTTAAACAGCTTTATCTTATATACTTAAAAAGGCCTTTTGTTAGCTGGGCTCGATGGCTCAGCCTGTAATCCCGTGCCTTTGGGAGGCTGAGGTGAGTGGATTGCCTGAGCCCGCGGGTTCGAGACCCGCCTGGGCAGCGAGACCTCATCTCTACAATAAATAAAAAAATCAGCCGGGCGTGGTAGCGCATGCCTGTAATTCCAGCTACTCGGAAGGCTGAGGCGGAAGGATCGCCTGAGCCCAGCAAGTGAGGCTGCGGTGGCCAGGAGCAGCCACTGCACTCCAGTCTGGGCAACCGAGTGAGACTCCAACTCAAAAAAAAAAAAAAAAAAAAAAAGGCCTTTTGTTTAGCATATATGTATATGTAATATATATATATTCTCCCTTGTTCTATTCTAGCACTTATTAATTCTGTTTTTCTTTTCAATTTATTTTTTACTTTTTTTTTTTTTTTTTTACTTCCCTGGTATAATCAGATTTTTTCCAATTTAATTACTAATTTATGTTCTACGTATTTTAAGTAAGTTGAGAAATATACAGTTTTTTCCAGGTGGTCACCAAGTTTTTCCCAATACTATTTGTTCTTTTCCTAACAGATTTAAATGCCCTTTTTTGTCATATTCTTTGTGTGTGTGTATTCTGAATTTTCTAGTTTACGTCATTGATTTCTGTTGATTTATTTATCATTACTATAGTTGAAAACCTCATGTAGCATTATCGTGTTCTAAGACACTGGTTATTAAAATTGTCGCACCAGTTCCTTTCTCGGTGTTCTACTGATGGACTTTTTAAAGGATTCTTCTGACTATTATCACTTGCTTATGTTTCCATAGGAACTTAAGAATCTTTTCGGTTTCCAAAAACAGTTTGGTGGGTTTCTTTTTTTAGTAGTTTTATTAAGGTACAGTTGGTGTACAGTAAACTATATTATCCAAAGTATACAATTTGGTAAGCTTTCATTTATGAATATACCGTCACCACAATCAAAATAATGAACAAATTCATCACCCCTAATGTTTTCTCATGCACTTTGTAACCCCTCCATCCTGTTGTCTCCCATCACCAGGTAACCACCCATGTGCTGTTATTATTCAGTAGGTTATGCCCTCAAGAATTTTATATAAATGGGATCATACAGTATGTATTCTCAGCATAATTATTTGGAGACTCATTCATGCTATTGCCATCTTCATTTCTTTTTTTTTTTTTTTTTTTGGCAAAGTAGTCCATTGTATGATGTACTGTGATTTATTTGTTTGCCTGTTGGTGGAAAATTATTTCCCATTTTTAACTGTTACAAGTAAAGCTGCTGTGAACTTAAAGCAGTGCCTGGTATGGACGGCATTTAAAAATATTAGCTGATCATGTTATTCTTGTGTTCTTTGGTAGCATATTAAAGCTTATTTTATTTTTTAAATAAAGTTCAGTACATTTCTTGTTAATTTTATTTTGTGTTTATCCTTTTTTGGTTTTTATTACAAATAGGAGCTAGGAGCTTCCCATCTATTATCTCTTCTACCTAGTTTTTGGCTCTTTTTGTTTTTTTTTTTAAGAAACAGTGGTGCAATCATAGCTCACTGCAACTTTGAACTCCTGAGCTCAAGTGATCCTTCTGGCTCAACCTCTCTCCAGTAGCTAAACTACAGGCTTGTGCCACCACACCTGGTTAATTGAAAAAATTTTTTTGTAGACACTAGGTCTCACTATGTTGTCCAGGCTGGTCTTCAACTCCTAGCATCAAGCAATCTTCCCACCTCAGCCTTCCAAAGTGCTAGGATTACAGACTGAGCCACCACACCTGGCCATTCACTCTTTCTTATGTGAAAATGTTCTAATCTTCTAAATGTTGCCCTCCCAAAGAAGTTAAAACCCAAAGGAGTTTTAACTTGTCTGTTTCTTTTAAGAGTAGGACCTATATTTGAACCCAGAGCTCCAAAAATGAATGAAGAAATGAATGAGCCTTTTCTGTGGACTTGTTACTGTTTTGGGCTCTACTCTTACTCCAAATTCTATACTTTATATAATCTGAGATTTTTCTCTGCATGTGCTACATGATTGTGTTGTGTTGAACTTGCATAACTACTCTTTGTCACATGTGCTGTTATAAAGCCAGGACTTTTCTATTCACTGAACTGTTGGTTTGGGGGGAATTAGCTGCAGGGCTATGCCTGCCACCTCTGTGTCTCTCTCCTATAGAATGTCCACTGAAAAAATATAGTATGGATATGTGGATTGGGTTCATTTACTTGGCCTAAACAGATGATGAAATACTATCAATGTTTTTTAAAAAGCAGACATAAGTTTAGAATTGGCATATGTACCACCTGGCCAGCGAGACCTCATCTCTACAATAAATCAAAAAATCAGCCGGGCGTGGTAGCGCATGTCTGTAATTCCGGCTACTTGGAAGGCTGAGGCGGAAGGATCACCGGAGCCCAGCAGGTCGAGTCTGTGGTGGCCCGGAGCAGCCACTGCACTCCAGTCTGGGCAACAGAGTGAGACTCCAACTCAAAAAAAAAAATAAATTGGCATATGTAGTAATGAGAACAATAAGGTTTGAAATGCAAAACACACATTGGGTGGGTGGTGCTGATGTCCCACACAGGCCCCATTCACAGAGGAGCCTTTGGATGTTCTTTTCCCAGAGGAGCTTTATGGTGACTTTGAAGACCTGGAAACAGGGGACATGCACAAAGGAAAACCAGACCCAGATTCTCAGGTACGACTTTGCCATACTGGCTGTCAGCTTTTCGGTCAGTATGTTTTAAGAGAGGCCCATGTTGAGAAATGTAAATCTTATTTGTTATCTGTGTAGATTATAGACTGGATGGTTAGATTCCATTCTGAAAGTGTGAGGACATGGAGACAGATAACAGATTATTTACTTGTTATTCTTGGTCCTTTGCATGTTACCTACTATTTCTTGCCATCGTTACTTACCAAATTCTATATGATTTTTTCATCCATGGACATTTTAGCCCCTGGTTCTTCCTCTTCACTATTCCTTTTGCCATTATTTTATTATTAAATTTCATTTAAAAAATGAATTCCCTGTTCTCCCTAATATTTCTTCTGAACAGTGTCTCTGGAAGCATTTGGGTTGAGGACCCTTGCTATTATTTTTATTTGTTTGGCATTAAGGAATTATGCCAGTCAGATTAAGGAATGACAGTTAATTGTATTGCACATGCCAAACTTTATCTTATGGAAATGGCATGTTATATAGAGACAAAGGCTGTGTTTTATTTTCTTTTAGTGATAATGATTCTAAGATTTTTTGCAATTCCAAAGAACTTGTAAAAATCTGCTTTAATGTTTAAAGAAAATATCTCTATAAACTTTTGCAAAATTTTATCCTCTGGAAATTTAAGGCTGAAGATATACAGAAGGAAGTTAAGGAAGAAATTGACCCTGACACAGAGGAAAGTGCCAAGAGAAAGCATTTAGATAAGAAGAGAAAATTGAAGGAGATGTTTGATGCAGAATATGATGGAGAAAGCACATATTTTGATGATCTTAAAGGAGAAATGCAGAAACAAGCCCAGGTAAGAAAACTCAGTTGCTCTTAGCCTCTTGGCAAGGATATAAAAGTGTCACGAGTACCTGATTTCAATTAAGTTTCTACTCCCCGACCTGCTTTCTGTGCCTTTCATTTGGACTCCTGGGTTGAGATGCATATAAATGTGTTTATTCAGACAGTGATGTAATTGCTTCTTCAGTCAGAAGTTTGCCAGAAAAATATCAGCACCTTTTTTGTACCAAGTATTAGGTGTTGAGGCAACAAAAGAGACTGAGACATGGTTGCCACTTTTGAATCTCCCACAGTGAAATGATTTGAGAATGTGTTCACGTAAATACAAACACTGGCTTCTTATTCCAATTACTGCTCCCTGATTTGAATGGGCAGGTGATTATGCACACACCAGTGCTCTACAGGGAAAGTTTTCTGAAAGTTTTTTTAACTCTTGGCCAGAGTTGAAAAGGATGTGAGCGTAAGGTCAGATGCAGAGTTAAAGGGAGGTGGTGTGACCCTCCTGCTGGAGATGCTGAGCAGGCTGTTTGAGGTGATGATTTCTTGCTCTGAAGTAGACCCAAAGATATGTATATGATTGATGGTGAGTGTCTGAGTTGTGCTTTGTTAGTGGGGCTACCAAGCATCTCTGTAAGCTGGAACATACAAATTAAGTATATGATTTATAAAAATATAGTTGAAAGATTGCTCAACCTAGGCGTTCATCTATTCAAAAGAAATATCTCCTGATTATGTTATAGTCCATTCCAACAACTAGCTGCTTTCTTCACAGTCAATCAGTTATGAGAGGCAGAGAACTGGGAGAAGCAAGGAGGTTTGTTTTCTTTTGTTCTCTGTATTTTATTACTGAGATGTAGGGTACAAGTCAGGATTAGGTACATAAGTAGTCTTCGTGCAGAAGTTTGAGCCTGCAATTGATCCTCACTTCCTTTGGTTTAGGATCAGGTACCCTTTGTGATGCCATGTGCCTCCCCCCCCCCCGTCCCTGTTCCCCTCCTCCCCCGTTTCCCTCCTCCTCCACAGTGTCCTGCCACTGCCGATCCCTCCCTTATAACATCGTGATAAATGTGCAGGACCCATTTATGAATGAGAACTTCTATAAAAGAAGCTAGGAGTTTTATTCTGATACCAAGGAATCAAGGAACAGACTATATCCACCAAAAAGCTTGTTCCTTCAAGCAGAGTTTCCATCTAGTGTTTATAATAAAACATAGTTTCTTATTTTTTCCCCCAACTATTGATTAATAATGTCTACATGTCTTATGACCATTACTAAGTTTCTTTCTTTTTTTTTTTTGAGTTGGAGTCTCACTCTGTCACCCAGACTGGAGTGCAGTGGCCGCTCCTGGCCACCGCAGCCTTGAACTGCTGGGCTCCGGCGATCCTTCCGCCTCAGCCTTCCGAGTAGCCGGAATTACAGGCATGCACTACCACGCCCGGCTGATTTTTTGATTTATTGTAGAGATGAGGTCTAGCTGCCCAGGCGGGTCTCGAACCTGGGGGCTCAGGCAATCCATTCACCTCAGCCTCCCAAAGGCGCGGGATTACAGGCTAAGCCAACGAGCCTGGCTCGTAAGTTTCTTTCTTAATCAGTGTTTAGATTCTAAACGGATATGGTCATAAACTGGTGCTCAGATTTCATCATCTCACTATTTTTTTTAATTAACAATTTTCCTTGAACAGTTTAGAACTGCATATCTTCCAGATGGTTACAGTTCCTGCTGTTTTGTCACAAGGATTAATATACATTTCTGGTTCACAAGGATTAACATGCATTTAGCACAAAGCATAGAAAGAATCAGTTATTATCTAAAGGCTAAGGGAATAGATACATTCTCGGACTTTTTAGGGAGTTTCTGCAGGGCTTGTTTCTTATCTAGGTACAGTGGGGCTCTTTCAGTGATGTGCAGTTTCTTGCCTCCTGCTTATCAGGGGCTTAATATAGATAGTTGTGTTCTTTTCAATACCAGCAACAGTTATTAGATCCAAGGACAGTGAAGGGGAAGAAGAAAAAGTATACACTTATAAATTCAAGCCACAAGCCATTTCTGTACTTTTAACTTGAATCTGACTAGAAACAACCTTTCTAAATCTAAGTGATTATTAGAAATTATTCTAATACATAAAAAATTGGGGCTTCCTTTGGCCTATAACAGTCATTACTTTAGTAGTTACAAGTCTGTGTTGACTTTTGACAGACATGACTAAGAAATGTAAAGCTAGTTCTGAAGCTTTGCTTCAGCCCATTTACAATTTAAGATCACCTAGAGTTTTGTGGGCCATAAAAACTTAAAATTTTTCATTCTGTAATGGGAACCCTTGGAGGGTTTTGAGCATTGGACAGATATTCATGATTGACTTCCCTTTGAAAGGATTACTTTGGCAAGAGTTCAGTGAGGCGGCACAAACCAGTGTTCGGGGGGATATAGCAGTGGAGGTGAGACAGTCAAAACTGGATATATTTTGTTTGAAGGATGGATTAGTACGATTTCCTGGTGGACTGAATAAGGGGTGTGTGAGAGGAAATGAGAATGACAACTGAAAGTTACTGGAAGGATGAGTTGTCTTAAGTTGGGTAGAGAAGCCTCTAGTTGGTGCAGTTTTGTCTGGAAAGATGATTCTCAGGTCAGTTAGGTTTGAGATATTGTTCACATAAGTGGAGTGTCAAGTCTGGAGAAAGAAGTCTAGCTTGGGACTTAGATGTATAGTCTTAGCATATAGATGCTACTTAAAGCCATAAGATGGCTGGGGAGTGGAGCATGGAGACAGAGTGAGAGGAGTGAGACTGGCATGGGTAAGAGGAGGAAGTGACAGTGGGGCCTAAGCAGAGCCCAGGAGGAAGAAATCTCAGACAGTGGCTGATAGGCTGGAGACATTGTGTCAAATCCATCTGATACATTAACTATGATGAAGGCAGACTTGACCACTGGAGTAGGAGTAGGAATGTGAAGGCCTTTAATGAATTTAGTAAGCATTTTCATGGAGTGGTGGGTGAAAGCTCAATTATCATGACTTTAAGAGAATGGGAGCAGATGAATCGGAGACTGTGACTGTAGAAAACTTTTTTTTGTTTTTGTTTCAGAGAGAAGCAGAGACATGGGATAGTAGTTGGGGGAGTCAGTAGAGTCAAAAGAAGTTTTTAAGATGAGAGAAATAACAAAGAGAAGATCTGTTGGAATAAAGTCCAGCCAGAGTTGATTGTTTCTAGTGTGCAAATGAAGTTTGATATTAAGTAGAGGCATGGATGAATAATCTATATTAGAGTTGCTGAATGGGACTTTCTGCAATCATGGAAAATGCACACCTGTGCTGTCCAATGAGGTAACCACTGGCTACATGTTGATATTGACTAGCAATGTGGCTAGTGTGATTGAGAACTGAATTTTACATATTGTGTAATTTTATTTAAAATAACCACACATAGCTACCCTATTGCATAGTTCAGAGCTCTGTTAAAAGGCTGGATATGGACGTAAACCCTGGTAGAAGGCTGATTGTGGAAGTTCTTGGGGTTTTTGAGTGAATTCGGAAACAGTCATTAGCTGAGAGTGAGGATGAGAAAGGAGGTGTTGGATGTCTGAAGGAAGGAAAAGTATGAAATAATTGCTTGGAGAGTAAGAAAAGAAGGTATGAACTGGGGACATTTTGAGTGTTTGCATTCAGGGATCCTCTCAGAATTATCTACATTTGCTATACCTTGGCAATAGAGAAGAAAGCAGTTGGGACATATTTTGAATAAACTGCAGAGATAAAATGTATATTATTTTTAATAGGATAAAGCCTAAATAATTCTGTCTGTGGGTCTTTTATTTAGAAAATGCTCCTTTAAAAATCTTATGTTTATTAAAAATAATGGCATTATGGATTTTTTTTTTCCCTTTTCTCATATATAGCTTAATCAGGCAGAATTTGAAGATCAAGATGATGAAAACAGAGTTCAGTATGAAGGTTTTCGACCTGGAATGTATGTCCGCGTTGAGATTGAAAACGTTCCTTGTGAATTTGTGCTGAACTTTGATCCCCATTACCCAATTATCCTGGGTGGTTTGGGCAATAGTGAGGGCAGTGTCGGATATGTGCAGGTAGGTGCCCTTCGGCTCAACACTTCTTTAGATGTACTCTCCACCAGTCATTTTTACTAAACTGTCTTCTCTCAGATGCGCCTGAAGAAGCATCGTTGGTATAAGAAAATCCTCAAGTCCCGGGATCCAGTCATTTTTTCTGTAGGGTGGAGGAGGTTTCAGACCATTCCACTCTATTATATTGAAGACCACAATGGAAGACAAAGGCTTCTGAAATATACCCCACAGCACATGCATTGTGGAGCAACCTTTTGGGGTAAAATATGATTAAAATAACTTACTTGTAGGTTAAATTTGCTGTGTTATTATATCTTTGTTCTTTTCCTTTCATGAAATCACAATTCATAAGGTTTTCCTCTTTTTGGGAGATAGGGATTGGAGTATATGTATAAAACAGAATCCAAGATTTATGGTTTACTTTCTTTATTTTTTCCTGTTTTGTTTAAGGTCCTATCACTCCACAGGGAACTGGCTTCTTGGCAATACAATCTGTCAGTGGCATAATGGTAACTATCTTAGATGATTTATTTTATAGATTGTGTTTGAGAAATATATCTTGAATGTGGATTATTGTGTACATGAAACTCTAAGTTGAAAATTACTCATTTTTAGTGTTTAATATAAAGTAAATTTCTCTTTGCTTTTAATCTTCCTACATTCTTTTCAGTAGAGTGTGGGAGTGGAGGAGGAGAGGTAGAAGAATTATAATGGTACTGATGACATTTTATATTTCTGTGCATTTTGGGGGTTTATATATCTAGTACTTAAGCAGTATTCACCATGTGCTAAACACTATATGAGGCTCTGAGGACACATCATAGCCCATCATGAGACTATCCCCCAGTCATGCTGGTTTAGCAAAGTTGGTTCACTCCATTGTCTTTTGATCAGTCAGAGCAAGTTTTATTGGCCCCGTGTGACAGAGAAGAGAACAGAATGATAAACAGATGGAATCTGCCCTGGAGATTCGAAATTTAATTTCCCAAAGCATAACTGTATTTTTATTTTCTATTTGATTCCAAATAGATCATTATGGTGAAATGATGTTCCTTATGAAATCATTCTCAGGAAAGTACGCAATTGATCCTCATTAGTTTGGCTTCTCAGTATTAAAGTTTTAGGTTGCTTTTGTTAAAATATTATATTGCAAGTTCATATGTACTCTCTTCTTTCTTAGCTGATTGCAAGTGAAATGCACTTTGATAATTTATTGTATTGCAGAGAATTGAAATTTTTTTCTTGCTAATAATACCTTTTTGAATTTTGGGGTTCCTTTTAGCCTGATTTCCGGATAGCTGCTACAGGAGTTGTCCTTGATCTGGATAAATCCATAAAAATTGTGAAGAAATTAAAGCTAACTGGTTTTCCATATAAAATTTTCAAGAATACTTCATTTATTAAGGTCTGTATATTTTTGAGTTTATAAATATGAATATTAAAGAGAAAAGAAATGCTTATAAAATTTGGGTCTTGTGTTTTTAGAAAAGTATTTGAAATCTTTTATAAACTTGGTTTTTGATATTTATTTACTTCTTTATATTGAGCTCTGTTACTTAAATATGCTCAAATATCATAAGGTTAATTAAAATAGAGATATTTAGTAATTGAGGCTATTGCTTATTCCGTGTGAACCTGACACAGAACTAATATTGAAAATATGGAATTTTATTCACTGTGTTTTTATTTCCTACGTTTTTGGCTTGTGTTAAGGGGAAAATTATAAATTAAAAATTTTAATTTTAAAACTATAAATTTGTCTAACCCTTCAGTAGGAAAATCGACAAAGCAATTTGCAGAAAACTTTACAGGAGTACAGAGAAATGGGCACACTTTTACAATATTTGTGGAGGGTAATTTGAGCAGCACTTACTGAAAATTTTATTAGCGGGGGTGTGTCCATTAAAAACACAAATTTAAGAAGATCATAATATGTTTTCTTGAATATAAAATCATAATGCCACAGGCATTTATCTAGCTCTTTTTATTTTCGAAGTGTATACACCTGAGTAATAGCATTTGAGTTGCAGTCCAGGCTGCAAATTGCCAACAAAGACTGCCTAGGCTAGTTCAGCCCAATAAATATCTGTTTGAGCTTCTCATCCACAAAGATAACAATGATGAGCATGCTAACAAGTATTGATTAATGTTATTTAGGGAAAATGAAATGGGATTGAGTTTTTTTGGAGGTAGTAATTTTTGCTTTTAGGGGGCAAAATACATTTTGATTATTTTATCATTCTTCAGTGAGGTTTTATTGTTGTTGTTGTTTTTAAACCAAGGTTGTATTTATGAACTAAGAGGTAAAGTTTATGATTTTATTAATACGTATTTTTGTTTTCATATACCTGTAGGGAATGTTTAATTCTGCCTTGGAAGTTGCCAAATTTGAAGGTGCTGTGATTCGAACTGTCAGTGGAATAAGAGGACAGATCAAGAAAGCACTCCGGGTTCCAGAAGGAGCTTTCCGGGCCAGCTTTGAGGATAAGTTGCTGATGAGTGGTAAATATTTTTTGTGGTATGTTCAAGACAGTATGTTACCATTCATTGTAGGTTCTAGCCAGTGCTGATTAGCTGCTGGTGTTTAGGTCTTTAGAAGATTTCCCCAGTTGGAACATCTTGTGCAGTGTGCCCATTCAGATTGTGTCTGCAGGCCCTTGGTTCACACCAAGTAAAAGTTTTACGGTATACAAAGTAGTTGGCTTAGTGAAGTCCCTCTTCAAACACTGCACAACAAGATAGAGAAGTTTGGGGTGATTATTTTGTTCTTTTACTTTGGTGAGATGAATATGAATTTTTTTTCAAAAAATGTTTTTAGTAAATTTCCTCTCTTCCAGATATTGTCTTCATGCGAACTTGGTATCCTGTCTCCATTCCAGCCTTCTATAACCCAGTAACATCTTTGTTGAAACCAATGGGTGAGAAAGACGCTTGGTCAGGAATGCGGACCACAGGTCAACTCAGGCTCGCCCATGGTATCAAACTAAAGCCAAACAAGGATTCTCTGTACAAGGTACAGGTCGTGTGTGTGTCAGTAGAGATGAAAGCATGTACTCTACAGACAGGGAATCACACAGATGCTTTTATAGATAATGTCTTACATGCTTGAATTTTCAGCTATAAAATGTAATGTTAAATTTGATTGAACAATTGTATATTCATAGAATACTTTGGAACACAGACACAGGAAAATGCTAATAGTGGTTTTCTCTGGATTGGAAAGGAAACTTTTCCTTTTTCATAAATTTTATTGTGTGTATTTGAGGTTTAAGGATGTTATAGGATATGTATGGATAGTAAAGTGGTTACTATGGTGACATAGTTTTTTTGTGTGTAATAGGAGCAGCTAAAATTTATTAAATAAAAATCCCAAATACAATAGTACATTTTTACTAAGTAGAGTCCTCATGTTGTACATTAGATCTCTATGCTTATTGATCTTACATATCCACTACTTCATATATTTTGACTTACATCACCCTGTTTCCTCTTGGTCGTTTTTATGTTGTCTTTAGAGAAATGTCTGTTCAGGAAATTGGGTTATTTGTTTTTCTGCTGTCAAGTTGTGAGCGTTCTTTATAGATTTGGATATCAACTCTTTTTCCAATATGTGGTTTGCAAATATTTTTTCCCAGTCTGTACTTTGCCTTTTTGTTTTGTTGATTAGTTCTTTTGCTGTACAGAACCTTTTTAGCTTGATGTAGTTCCACTAGTTTATTTTTGCATTTGTAGCCTGACTTTTGATGTGATAACTGAAAAAATAATTTTCAAGGCCAATGTCAAGGGACTTTTTCCATAGATTCTCTTCTAGGAGTTTTACAATTTCAAGTCTTATTTAGGTTTTTAATCCATTTTGAATTGATTTTTGTGTATAATGTAAGATAAGGGTCCAATTTAATTCATTTCTATGTGGAAATCTGTTTTTTCCAGCACCATGTATTGAAGAGACTGTTCTTTCCCCATTTTGTCCTCTTGGATTGCCCTTGTTGAAAATTAGTTGGCAGTATATTGTTGGATTTGTTTCTAGGCTGTTTCTGTTGGTTTATGTTTCCATTGGTCTATGTTTTCATTTTTATCCCAGTACCATACTGTTTTCATAGCTTATAGCTTTGTAATATAATTTTAAACCAAAAATTGTGATGCCTCCAACTTTTTTTTTCTCAGTAGTGCACTGGCTATTTGGGGTTTTTTGTAGTTTAGTGTGAATTTTAGGATTACTTTTTCTATTTCTATGAAGAATACTGTGGAATTTTGATAGGGATTGTGTTAAATTGGTATATTTGCTTTGGGTAGTGTGATATCTTAACAGTATTAATTCTTCTGATGTATGAACACAGGATATCTTTCCATTTATTTGTGTATTCTTAAAATTTCTTTATCAGTGTCTTATAGTTTTCAGTGTACAAATCTTTCATCTCCTTGGTTAAATTTATTCTTAAGTATTTGATCTTTTTTGATGCTATTGTAAATGAGATTTTCTTGATTTCTTTTTCAGCTAGATTTTTACTTGTGTATAGAAGTGCTGCTGATTTTTGTATGTTGATTTTGTATCTTTCACCTTTACATTTATTTACATAGAGAATCATGCCATCTGCAAACAGAGATAATTTTACTACTTTCTTTCTGATTTGGATGCTTTTATTTTAGCTTTTTTATCCGATTACACCTGGTAGGACTTCCAGTACTGTGTTGAATAAATGTGCTGAGGGTGGGCATCTGTCTTGTACTCCATCTTAGTGGAAAAGATTTTAGTTCCCTGTTAATTATAATGTTAGTTGTGGATTTTTCATAAATGGCCTTAATTATGTTGAAAAACTTTTCTTCTATACTTAAACGGTTAGAAGGTTTTTTTCATGAAAGAATGCTGAATTGTGTCAAATGCATATCTCCATCAGTTGAGATGGTAATGTGGTTTATATCTTCTATCCTGTTAATACAATATCTCACATTGATCGATTTACATATGTTAAATCAGCCTTGCATGCCAGGGATAAATCCCACTTAATCATGGCGTATCTTTTTTGATGTCTTGTTGGGTTCTGTTTGCTAATATTTTATTGTAGATTTTGGCATCGGTGTTGATTTTTTTTCATAGATACTGTCCTTGGTTTCTCATGGTTTTTTTGTCTGGCTTAGGTACTAAATTGATGCTGGCCCTGTAAAATGTGTATGGAAGTATTTTCTCTAGCTGTATTTTTTTTTTTTTTTTTTTTTGAGTCGGGGTCTCATTCTATTGCCCAGACTGTAGTGCAGTGGCACACTCATGGCCACCGCAGCCTCAACCTGCTGGACTCAGGAGATCCTTCCACCTCAACCTTCCAAGTAGCTAGAACTACAGGCATGCGCTACCACACCCGGCTAATTTTTTGGTTTATTGTCTCACCAAGTTGCCTAGGCTGGTCTCGATCCCTGAGCTTAGGCAGTCCTCTCACCTCGGCCTCCCAAAGTGCTGGGATTACAGGCTTGAGCCACCATGTCCAGCTGCTTTCTATTTTTTTGAAGAGTTTAAGAAGCGTTAGTAAGAGTTCTTTGAATGTTAGAATTTGGCCGTGAAGCCAATTAATTAAATAATTTTTAATTATTTCTTCAGTGTCTTTATTTGTTTTGGTCTGTTCAAGCTTTCTGTTTTTGCCTGATTTAATCTTGGTAGGTTGTATTTTTCTAGGAATTTATCCATTTCTTCTAGGTTATCCAATTTGTTATATATAACTGTTCATAATAGTCCTTTATGATCCTTTTTATTTTTTAGGCATCTGTTGTAATGTTTCCACTTTTTTTTTTTGAGTTGGAGTCTCACTCTGTCACCCAGACTGGAGTGCAGTGGCCGCTCCTGGCCACTGCAGCCTCAACCTGCTGGACTCCGGCGATCCTTCCGCCTCAGCCTTCCGAGTAGCCAGAATTACAGGCGTGCACTACCACGCCCGGCTAATTTTTTTATTTTATTGTAGAGATGAGGTCTCGCCTGCCCAGGCGGGTTCGAGACCCGCGGACTCAGGCAATTCACTCACCTCAGCCTCCCAAAGGCGCGGGATTACAGGCTGAGCCACCGAGCCCGGCTGTTTCCACTTTTATTTCTGGTTTTACTTATTTGAATCTTCTCTCTTTTTTTCTTAGTTTAGTTAGAGATTAGTTGATTTTGTTTTTTTTTTTTAAAGATCCACTTCCTGTTTTTTTCCTATGATTTTCTAATTTCTATTTGGTTTATTTCTGTTCTGATCTTTATTATTTCCTTCCTTCTGCTAACTTTGGGCTTAGTTTGTTCTTTTTTTAGCTTCTTGAGGCATAAGATTAGGCTCTTTACTTGGGTTGTTTTTTTTTTTAATGTAGGTGTTTATTGCTATAGTTGTCCATCTTAGAACTGCTTTTTCTGCATCGCATAGATTTTGATATGTTGTGTTTCCATTGTCATTTGTCCTAATATATTTAGTTTCCCTTTTGATTTCTTTTTTGACCCTTTGATTGTTCAGGAGCATGTTATTTAATGTACACATATTTGTTAATTTTCAAGTGCCGTGTGTGACAGGCTACATAGGCCGGAGTCATGGGGGTGGAAGTATTCACCATTATGAATTAAGAAAGATTTATTAAAGGGAAGATACTTTGTGAAGGTCACAATGGACATGACAGCAACAAGAGAGAGTTTGCTGTTTGCCAAGAGACAGGGCCTAAATAGAAGCATTTATAGGACTATACCAGGATTCAGTGTGGGCTGGGGGAATTGCAGGACATGGAGAAGTTTACAAATTGACTACATGTAGTGCCTGAGGTTTGTAAAGCAGCTGATTGATTGTAGGGTTTTGTCTCTTTAGCAGCAATAGTTGACCGCTTTTTGTCTGTCAAGGAATCAGCAGTGAGTTGTTCATTACTTTCTTGTTCACTGTGGAACTAACAGCAAATGTTTTATAGGTGACTATTCAGCTTTTACAATTCTTGTCATTATCTCATTCTGAGGTTTCCTTCCTCAATATAATTTACCCAATTTACCCAGTTGTTGCTGGCCTAATCTGGCCTTATGTTCCTCCACACCAGGATTCCTCCTTTTACTGTTTTCTATTTATACCACTGTGGTTGGAAACAATACTAAATATGGTTTCAGTCTTTACTGAATTTGTTTAGACTTGTTTTCCGGCCTAAAATATGGTCTATCTTGGAGTGTTCCATGTGTGCTAGAGAAGAATGTATATTTTGTTGCTGTTGGATGGAAATTTGCATATATGTCTCTTAGGTCCATTTGTTTTAAAGTACAAGTCTGTCTGGTTGATCTACTTATCATTGAAAGTGGGATATTGAAATCTGCTATTATTGTATTATCTATTTCTTCCTTCATGGTCACTGATATTTGCTTTATATACTTAGGTGCTTTGATGTTGGGTACAAATATATTTACAGTTATAGTTGCTTGATGAATTGAGTTCTTTATTATTAAATAATGACCTTCTTTGTCTTTTGTAACAGTTTTTAAGGTGAAGTTTTATTTTGTCTTATATAAGTAGAGATATCCCTGGTTTCTTGTGAGTACTATTTGAGTGGACTGTCTTTTCAATTTTTTCACTTTTAGCCCATGTGTTTTTAAAGCTAAAATGGGACTCTTGTTGGCAGCATTAGTTGGATCTTAACTTTTTTTGTTCATTCAGCTATTTTATGTCTTTTGATTGGAGGGATTAGCCTATTTATATTAAAAATTACTATTGATAGGTAAGGATTAATTCCTGCCATTTTGTTAACTGTTTTCTGATTGTTTTTTAGGTCCTTTGTTCTTTTCTTCCTTTTTTATTTGCCTTTGCAATTTGGTTATTTTTTGTAGTGCTAAGCTTTGATTCATTTCTCTTTCAAGTTTGCTATAGTTTTTTGCTTTGAAGTTACTGTGGGATGCCTACATAAAATAACTTAAAGTTATAATAGACTATTTTAAGCTGATAACAATATAACTTTGGTTATATACAAATATTCTATAGACTTTTACCCTTCCCCCACAATTTATGTTTTTGTTGTAACAATTTGTAACTTTTTATC